AAAATATTATACACAAGAGGCCGTAAGGAAAAACAGAGCAAAGATAATATGACGATTGACAGGACATAAGGCTATCTGTTACATAAGGGTGAGTAATGTCCTGGCCTGTCTACAACCCCATATGTATCACCAACTTCTAAGCATGTCTGCGTCTACACCACTCTGGGAGCCAGACTGGGAACATAAAACATAAAATTTCCCCATCACACGAACAGTACCTGCGAGAAATAGTAAAGTGTAATAATTATTTAGAAAAAAACATGTTCCTGTGTGTGTATAACTTTTTGGTTGGAGGTCCATCACATTATAGCTTAAAAATACCTACAAAAACAGGCATTCTGACTGTGAGCAGGGTTGCCTCTCCATAGATCTGGCCTGTAACTTGGTCTGGTTTGGTCTCCATGATGATCGAAAGGTTTAATGCCATACTGGGAGACATTCTAAACAAAGAAAAGTTACACAATTCACCTTTAATGGGTCATACTTTCTGCAATACATTCACATAAATCTCTCTTTTCTTTTCTTTTCTTTTCTTGTAATCTTTCCTGAAAGTACTAAACTTATTTCATATTGTAATGCTTTTCCCCTCACACTCACACTTGCCAGCCTGTTGTCAAGCTGTTCATTTTATACAGAACTCAAAGTGGAGCACAGCAGACCCGTGGATAATCTCCATTCGTTTTAAAGGCTAATTAGCTTGTCTCTTTCAATATGATTCAATCTCAAATATAATATACCAGTATAAAATAATTAACTATTGGTCAAAGCACGGTAGATTGTTTTAGAATGGGATTAGAATATAGAAATAACTCCTAAACTCTTGTCAGCCTAGCCATTGTTAACCAGGCTGGCTCTACCTAGTGCTGCCGCTCAATTTCATTTCTTTCCAGCGACTAGGTCAGGAATCAGAATATACTAAACAAGAGGTGTTAAACTCAAATTCACAGAGGGCCAAAATTAAAAACTAGGACTAAGTTGTGGGCCAAACTAAATATTTATTGAAAAATTTCAACAGCATCTGCATGACTTCTCGTCTTTTGAGATATGTAATATTAAACCTTTTTCTTATTAAAATAAATGTTTAATAATAGTTTTGCTTAAACACTGAATCCAGAACAAGTATAATATAAAATAATAACAAGATTTTTAATAAATAATGTCTCTATAGCCTATCTGTAACCAGCAGGCCAGCTCTAATACATATTTGATATAATCTCGTGTGCCAAATATAAATATGTCGTGGGCCAAATTTGGCCCCTGGGCCTGAGTTTGACATGTCTGCACTTGACAGTTTGCAAGAACCCCGGAAGTGCGAGCACCAGTCAATCAGCAAAGAACCATACATTCTGTGTTGCAATGATTCTCGAGATCGAGGATTTAAAGTTGGAACAAAGAGAATGTTTGTGAATTTGATCAAGGGGAAAGACGTTATTGCCCTTCTTCCTACAAGATTTGGGAAAAGCTTAATATACCAGTTAGCCCCGTTAGTTGCGCATTACATACATCACGACCAGAAAGTACCCGCCTACCGTCGAGGATGCTAATGCTGTAAGATCAGATGGTTTCCACGAATTGAAACCGGCTGATGAATCAGGCTAAGCCATTGTACCTGTGAAGTGAAATGTGGACATACTGTACTAGTATATTAAAACCCAGTATCAGAATGCAATATCTTTAAGGGCTTACACTATTTTCTGATCTGTTATAATGTTGTTTCCTCTTTAGAAACATACCTGGAGTTGTGTATTGTTTCATTCACATGTTTAATAGACAAATCCTGCATATGTAGGCTGAGTTTTCCTCTGAAACTGAAAATGCCACCACCGTGTGAAGTCATTTGGCACAAGTTGGAACGGAGTATTTTGAGCTTTGGAGATGCAGACAGACTAATAATGTAGGATTACTCAAACATATGTAAATGAAACAAAACACAACTCCAGGTATGTTTTTGAGGAGCTAATAACATAACATGACTAAAAGAATCCATTTTGCATACTGTAGGATCTTTGAAAAGAAGCAGAGGAGATGTACGGTCTCTCCTGAGGGACAAGAAACAGAGAGCTTTGTCCTTGGCTCTGTGACCACACCACCAAACATTGATTGTTGTTGACGTCAAAGCTTCAGCGCCAACACTGACCTGGGTGTTCCAAAAATATTCTGTCTCATTTGAAGCGGAGCTAAAACACACTGTATTGACTGAGGTGCAGCTCAGGTCTCTTATGTCAGTAATAGCAGTGATTCCCAAAGTGGACCAAGATAGAGTGGCTAAAAATAAAGGAGCAAATAATTGAGTTTGAAATGAACTACAGTTATTTTGCAAAGCTATTACTTCCTTACAGTCATTGCCTTCAGTAGATAAATATTAGTCATTTGAGGCTGTAGCTCACAAAATGACTCATTTAGGAGTTAGCCTTTTGAAATGGTGGACTGCGTCTCATTGTTGTGGTGTGGGGGTTTCACGGATTTCATATAGAGCTGAACACTCAGGACAGGTATCACTAAATATCACTGAAACATAATAATTTTTAATGCTTATTTTTGCTGTAATAAGGTAAAGCAAGCTCTTGGTTCAACATTTGTGAATTTACCTTTTGGATATTTCTTATTGAAATATTGTGTAAACTACAGGAAATCTCATACGATTCTTGTGCTCTGTGCTTTTGTCTCACATTTAAAAATCATTTAATTGGTGGGTTTCAGATTCTAGGATGTGATGAGGTCATTCTCCCAAACGGGGGCAAGAGACCGTTTTTCCTATTGATCACATTGCACTTGGCCATGAAATGTCGGAAACGTCAATTCCCAAATATGACCCTCCTAATTTCTGTTATTGACAAGACCCAAGACTATGCTATATTACAACAAAAATTCAAAGTTGAACATAGGGTTGGTATAAAAATTTTGATACCTTTAAACCTTCTCAGCATTTTGCCAGGCTATATGGTATTACAGTGACTAATTAAAAATAATTTTGTAGCCATCAGAAACAGAATAGCAAGCATTATATTTGCCTAAAAATATCCATGGATCCGAGTTGCGCCGTCCCAGGAAAAGGGGGGTGTTACGCGCGTCGCTAGGCAACTTCTTCGGAAAACCGATTCGGAAGGATAATTGAACGCAGTGTTTGTCTCCCTAATGAGCGTCACGTGACAGTGGAACTAAACGATTCGAATGCCATCTCCCCATGGAGTTACAAGAAACATTATAGACAACTATTACTTTTAAATTGTGGTATAATTAAATTGAAAATACAACCACACATTCATTTGTGCTGAGCAAACAAATTTAAATTTAGGTATCAATAAATTTTAATATTATATTAGGTCCTTATGCACTGCAGATTTTTTTAATGACTATAATGAAACTGAAACCGTTGCTACTTTTTGATTCTGCGGGATATCTTAATACCATATTATCACCCAACACTAATTGAACAACATTAATTTTAGCTGTACCCATGTGTATTAAATAATACTGGCCTATAAAATGCAGTGATATCATCTGAAACCCAGCAATTTAATGCAAATAGGGGCAAGTGAATATAGTTGGACTGTAGATTTTTGTTGTAATACAGTGAGTTCTTGGGTCTAGTCACTAATAGAAATGATCAGGTTAAACATTTATGAATGTACTTTTTGTATATTTCATGGCAAAGTACAATATAATCAATAGGGAAAAATGTCTCTTGCCCTCCATCTGGGAGTATGGCATCATCATGTACTAGAATCTGAAAACTACGTACTGGTGGTTTTCAGATTCTAGAATGTGATGATGTCATACACCCAGATGGGGGGCAAGAGCCAGATTTCTCTATTAATAACATTGAACTTTACCATGAAATACCCAAAATGTAAATTTACAAATGTTGAACCTGAACATTTCTATCAGTGTGTTACAACAAAAATCTGCATTTTAACAATATTAATTTTACTTGCTCTCCATCTGTATTAAATAAATAATTGTTTAACTGCAGATTTTGTTATATATATTTGTAATATAACATGGTTTTGGATCTAGTCAGTAATAGAAATTATTCCACATTTGATAATTTGCCTGTCCTATATTTCCTGTTAAAGTACAATATAATCAATAGGAAAAACTGGCTCTTGCCCCCCATCTGGGAGCATGACATCATCGCATTCTAGAATCTGAAAACCACCAATTAATTACGTTGTATTTTGCCATGAAATATCAGAAAGGTAAATTCCCAAATAAGGAACCTGATCATTCCTATTACTGACCTGACCATGCTGTATTACAACAAATATCTGCCCCTCATTTGTGTTAAATAATACTGACCTAATGTGTGAATCTGAAACCCAACAATACATTAAAATCCTGTAGTATGTGACAGGCCTAATCTGCCATATGCTCTTTTAAGTTTTTTGTTCCACTAAAGAAAAGTGTACATGTTAAAATGTGATCAATAGAAAAACACTGTCTCTCACATTGTAAAATCTGAAAACCACCAATCACTGATCAACAAAATCACAAAAGCTGATACCTCTAACATTATTGATACTTTGCAACTGACGTCTTCAACATTCCCTGGGGCGGTGAAGCTAACTAGAGGCACTGCTCTGTCTGTTGCTCAAGTTAGACTTTATCTTTGAGCTTTGTTTTAACACCATTTGAGCATAAAGAACTGACTGAGCTAGAACTATAACAACTGAGCTGATTTTGTATTGGTAAACAGTCACAATTACAGTCACAAGCTAGATACCATTAGCAGTTTTTTTTTCTTCACTTAGTCACTCTCACCTTTTTTTGAATAAACTCAAACACTAAACAGGACGATGAACTCTCGCAACGATCACAAGCTCCTGAGAATGTGTTGTTTAAATCCATTTTGTATTTTTCCTTGTGTTGTTAGGCCATCTTACTCTCCAAGCTCCTTTACCCGGCTGTGCTTTTTTTTTTTAAACACGTACACACACATAGACAGATAAAAACTAACGTGTGCATTGTGTCACCATTTTAACACGTGTGTGGCGGTGCAGGTGCAGCAGGAGCACCCGTACGAGCTGTCCCGAGTGCGCAGGGGCTCCACAGACTTCCCCCCTCAGCCCTACACGCCGTCCCTGAAGAAGCACCTCCAGAGCCCCCCTGTGTACGCCGACATGGACCCCCCGGTGAAGAGCAGCCCCGTGTACTCGGAGCTGCGCCTGGACACCACCCGACTGCACCCGAGCTGGAGCGCCGAGGGCTACTCCCGGCACCCCGAGCAGAGGGTCAAGCAGCTCAAAACTCTGGACATACAGGTGAGGGCTTCTTTAAAGGTTCGACTCGTGTGAGCTTTAAGGCATGCTAGAATTCCGTTACCCCCTCATACAAACCTGAAGTTTTGTTTCATTCACACATGTTTGAGTAATACTTTATTATTTGTCTGTACATCTCCAAAGCTCAAAATACTCTGTTCCACTTTATGATAGTAGTGACAGTAGTTTTCATGATAACCTGTTATCTCCTCCTTTTACCTTTTGTTCAGTAGAAATTGGCAATACTTGTAGCACCTCCTGTATTACCACATGACATCACAAAGTGGAACGGAGTGTTTTCAGTACGAGAGAACTTGGCCATTCTAGATCTTGGAACTAAAAGTGTCTAACCAGAAGGAAGCACTTGAAACTCTGAATTTAGGGGATGTTGCACGTCTTTTAACTGTCCTGAGTACAGGGAATCCAGGCGGCTCTGAGGATGGACAGACCTCACTCTCCTATTTGGGAGTTCTTGTTTTTAGCAGAGATGCTCCCAAACCATGAGATCAATGAAAAAGTTAAAACTGATTCCATAAACGTTTTATAGAACAGTGTCATCATGGTTCTGTCTACACGGTAAAAGGACAACTTTCTTAGATATGTTGTATGGCATGTTTGTGGCGAGGAAAAACAGATTACAGAACGCATTACAACAGATCAGAATTTTGCATAATTACCCCTCTTTAAAGGTCCCATATTATTTATTTTATGGTTGCTAGGTTACAGTTATGGAATTAAGACAGGATCAATTAATATGGGTTTTTCCAGAGCTGATGTGGATACTGATTGTTTAGAATCTAAAGCAACTTATACCCGATAAGTTGTGCCAATGTTTTTTGAGCTGATATATAGGGCCTATTTAGATTTTTAAGATTTTATTTTCTTCAATTTGTGTAATTTAAATATACTACAAACTCACCCACATTCTCTTTTTACCACAAACTCATAAGGGAACGGTGTAGTCACATTTTGTGCAGTTTTCTCTTCTTATTAAAGTTTTAAAATAAAGCATTGTGCGTGTTTTTAGGCAACAAATCAAGCAAAACCAAATATCGGTCAGTGTTGGAAATTTAAGGCCATACGCGAATATTCTAAAAAGTCTAAATATCGCCCATCGACATATTGGCCAACTGATTGGTCTAGAATTGGTCTATCTCTAAAATTAACTCATATGTCACATCTGCTGCTCATCTCAAGTTCAACCAAGACATAAAAATTGTCCATCTAGTGAAAACTCTGACCCATCCTTCACTGCAGCTGGAGCGTCCTGTCAAATGGTACACGGGGGCCCTTAAGTAGAAATGTAGTGCCCTCTGCAGACTGCACAGGGAGTCAAATACTAAATACAGTGTAAAAGCAGAACTATTTTTAGAAACATAATGCTGAGTCTTTTCAATTCAAGGTTGTTGAAATGAACAGAGCACTTCAGGTGAAAATGTATTGACTTAAAAACACATAGTAATAACAGTAATGCGTTGGATTGATAGAGTGCCCTTTAAGACAGCCAAAGCGCTTTAGTGTATTATTCAATCACTCCAGACTCCTCCGACCACAACCAACACACACACACTCATACTAGGCAATGTGGGGGAAGTGTATTGCTTAAGGACGACCTTGGTGCAAGCTGGAATTGATCCTCTGTCCTTCAAGTGAATGGATGAGTAGTGTTTTTCCCGTTTATTTATTAATTTCTTATGCTTAATCAGAGAGTTGAAAGAGACAACCTCATCAAACAAGATGTAAACAAACACAATACTGCTGACATGTTTTTGATGAGAAAATTGCAGAAGAGTAAGGTTAAACTGAGATGTTAATTATTCTGTTTTGTTGACCTTGTGATAAAAGTTACTATCGAGCTTGTGGTCACATAATCACACAAATATCCAGCAGAATCAAGGACCTATATCTGTATCTGCAAATATAAAAATGAGACTAAATTTGACCAAATAATGGGCTTTTTATATGCATTCTGCCAGGATGTTATTTCTTAAGTTCAGAAATTATTATTATTATTTTTTATAGGCATGGCTTTAACTTTGAAATAAATTGTAAATAAAGCTATACAAGCATTGAAAGGTATGTGTTTGCTGTAGAGCGGGGCAGCTCTGGACCCGGCCCACCTGGAGTACTGGCTGGAGGATGTGTACACCCCGGGATTCGACTCTCTGCTGAGGAGGAAACAGGCCGACCTCCGGAGGGCACGCGTCTGTAAGCTGGGGGCCCTCATCGCCGCTGCCACGTGCACACTCCTGCTGGTCATCGTGGTCCCCATCTGCACCATGAGGACCTGAGGAGCCCAAACCCCCGTCCCACTGCAGAGGGCTGAAGTCAGGGCTGCTTCTGACTGTGTGGGGGCCTATGCAGGATTATCACACTAAAGGGAATGACAATACTATAATGAACTCCACCATTACACAGTCTAAAATCATGATATATGGGAAATCATCACTGGTTTCAAGAGCACACATAAATAAATAAGTTATTTAAAGTTGTACTATGTACGTTTTCTTCTGAGTGGCCACCATGGAGATGTTTTTGCTTTGCCTGGAATGTTCCACAGTGTGGAATAAAACATTTACAGGCGTTTATTGCTTTTCCAGGCACTCAGTTATGTTACAATTTTGCACATTATTCAGTCATTCCACACTCAGTGGTGGTAAGCTTCTGTTGTAGCCAGCTGCCCTGGGTAGACTAGCGGAAGCCCCTCTGAACAACACTCATGCACACACCACATTCATTACACAGATTTTGATAAAGAGGTCTGGCCACTACTTGAAAACACTTACACTTACTATGAGCAGTATCATCTCTCCACAGATCTAACCTATAACATGGCCTGCTGGCAGTAAATGTTTCCTTTTCTCCCTCAGAATAAATAAGTATAAATTATACTGCAGAATATTCCACACAAAGTAATACTATGTCTATGAAGACAATTAGATGGGAACCTACACCAGTAAAGTTACATCATACACTTTTAATAATTAAAATAAATTAAGTAAAACCACTTTGATTTGGTTGCCCAGTACACATGCATAGTCCACACAGCTAGAGGCGGCCCTGACTATGGTGGTGAACAGCTGTAGTAGCCAGGATATTTTATTAGTTCTACTATGGTGCAATGTATTTGAAGTGACTTTTAATAATCTAGTGGAATGTACTAGATTTTTTAGAAAATAATCCAACATGAATGATATCTTTTAAATGTTTGAACCATAATTCTGTACATCTTGATGAATGAATGTCATGTTTTGAGTTGTTTTACAGATGGGGCAGGCCATAGCTAGAACAACAGAACATATAAAGGTCATACCTCCATAGCTCCAGTGCCAATTATATGCCTTAAGACATACCCACATTAGCAGCCATAGCACAGAACATTACAGTGCAGAGATACAACTCCATAATGAAGCCTTCAAACATACATTTCTCACATGACAACAAGCATCCAAAATATACTTTTTTGTTGCTGTTTTGCTGTTTTTTTACTGAGAAGCAATAACAACAAGTATTCTAAAACCCATTCTGTGTCAAGTACTACATGATTGAAGGATACATCACAGCAAAATTTTTTTATCATATTATGGGTTAATGATAAAAAAGAAATACAAAATAAGTACCGGTAAACATAATAACAAGTCTTCCAGTGTTTCATTTGAATTCTATGTTTTAAGGCTCATTTCTAATCCCTTTTGCCCTCTGCATCATTACAGTCACCACACACACACACACTGGATGCTCTTCTTTAGATTAGATTTTATAGTATTTATTACATTTAAAATATTCTATAAACAAGTTCACAGGCATTTGGCAGTACAGAAGGCTGCAGGCGAGGCTGCTGGTTTGATAATGATTCCTGGGCTGGGAAGCTAAAGCACCTATAAGTGAAGTGTATTTTGATCTATCCAAACACCATTAGCATAGCAATAAACAATTCAAAATGTTTTTGTATCCTTTGAATATTCAGAAGTGCTTTAAGTTAATGGGACGTTGAAACCCATGATGCCAAAATTATTATTTTTCCAGTGCATTTAAGTGCCATAGAATTTTAAAATATGTTTTAAGGTGCAATGCGTAATTTTTCTCGTGGGGGGTCCGTCACATGCTTGTTTCCATGGAGATGTTATTGCTTTGCCTGGAATGCTCCACAGTAAGGCATTAAATGTATCCTTCTTGTTTTTATTTCATTAGGTGTGTTTTTATTACTCAAAAGTAAGTGACCTGAGTGAGTGACCTGACCAGTAACTTAGCTTGGTGTCACCGCCTGCTTTCTCCAGGCAGATACTACTACTACTTCCCTACTGTGGAACATTCCAGATAATCATCGTGGAAACAAGCAGGTGCCAGACCCTGCTGAGAAGTTACACAGTGCACCTTTAAATATGGATAAACAGTTACTGAGTTTCAGATGCCATCACAACATCTATAGGCCAAAAATACTGAATACATACAGGGGCTCTTGGGTCTTGTCAAAAATAGAAAAGATCTGGTCCAACTTTTATGAATTTACCTTTTTCATCATATTTCAACAGAAAGCACTGTGTAACTAGTGGTTTTCAGATTCAAGAATACTAGAACTAACTGAAAAACTGTTGGCGAATGCTAGCCAGCTTGTGATTGTAATGCTTTTGTAGTTCCATCTAAATCAGTTCTTTCTGGTCAGATTGTGTTAAAATAGTGCTCAGATTAAAGTCTAACAAAGCATCAGACACAACAATGCCCACAGTTAGCATCGCACTCCCAGGAAATATTGATGACACCAGCTGCAAAGTATCAATAGAATGTTGTGATGCAATCTGAAACCCAACAATATCACTGTTTTGCCATCTCAGTCTGATTTTTTTTATTTATTTATTTTTTACTATTTTGTTGAGTTTTTCTCCTGTGTAAAGTCATCAAATGGTCTTTGGGTTCCCAGCCCTCGGATTCTAAATATACGTTTTCTGAATGTACAAGGTTATTTTAATAGAATCAAATGAATGTAGATAGTTAAGGACTATTTTGAAATTGTTATTTTTTATTCCACTGCGCTGTTGGAAAATGACTGTAGAATGAACATACCTGTAGTCTTTATTAGAATGTACTCAACACTGTGTTTGTATGCAGAGAAATTTGTATAGTTTAGCACCAAGAGAACTCATGGATTTGTTCATCTGTCCATCCTTGAGGCACCACAGAATGTCTTCCCAGTGCACACTGTTAAGTAAATATTACAAGGTGTGTTTTCTAGTGGCTTAAAGGTCCTATTTTACACAAACTGGATTGTGAGCCATGTTATAATCTTGTTACCTCCTCAAAAACATACCTGGAGTTGTGCTTTATTTCCTGCATTATTAGTATGTCTGCATCTCCAAAGCGCAAAAATGCTCTGTTTAACCTTGTGATGCCATGGTAGATTTCAGGTTAACAGCTATGTTTTACCTTTTGTTCAGTAGAGACTGGCAAATTCCAGGGCTAAAATCACCCAAATGACTCTAGTGAGTGTGTATGGAGTGGAGCACTACCTGTACTACCACATGACATGGAGTTTTCTCGTTGAAAGAAGAACTTAGCCTAAATATGCAAGGTTTGTGTGTTAAACATGTGAAACAAAACACAATTCCAGGTATGTTTTTAGTGAGGAAACAACATTATAACATAGGTGAGAAAATAGTGTAATATGGACCATTTAAATGCAGATTGGAATGTAGAGTTGGTGCCATGATGGTCTGACCATGACAGAAGAATGTACGTTCTGTCCGGAGCTGCAGTGCCATTTACATTATAATAAGAGTAATACTATGTGGACTCTACTTATTCCTTTGCCTGTATGGATTACATATTAAAGACATGAAAACATGTGGTTTGCCTTTGTGAGGTTTTATAAAGCAGTATTCATCACACGTCACCAGGCTTTCACATTGTAGGCCGACTTGGTGACACTGAAACATGGAAGAACAGTGAGCAGAACTGAATGTATGTGTGTAATCTTTTTCTTGGAATAATGAATGATAAAAAAAAATGAAGAAATAATACTCTTTATTTACTTACACAAAATCATTGACAGAATGGCTTTACAAGTTGATTCTCTTATTGAACAGAAACCAAGCAAAGCAGCACATAGCACACATTTACACCAGGGCCAAGGTTTACAATAAATTAGAAATACAAAATAAATGTGTGCTACTCTAAACGTATGGCTTCCCCTCCGAAAACAGACCAGCTATTTCGGCTGTGGCCTGGAGGACATGCTTTCAGAATGGAATGATTTAGAAGTTTTCAAATAAATCTCTCTACACATTCAAAACTCCTACTACAGTGATGGATGTTGGATTTTCTCTGACACACAGACAGGTGTCCTGGGACATGGCTGTCTGCCTGCGGGGACACCCGGGGGACATGTCTCACATAGGACACACACTAACTATACACTTAAACACACATTTATGTAGCATGGCGTTTGAACAATCCTCAGACTCAGGACTCTTTTCTTTTTGTGCTTATCAAATTAAGAATCACAGAAACCAAGTTTTGGACTGGTCATAGTTGAAAAGAGTTTTTAAAAAGTGCTTGATTCATTTATATTAGATGTGGAGATTTGCATAAAGTGTCATGTATTCAGGACGTTGCCATAGAAACCCCTCACAGACAGAGGGGAGGACTAGAGTGCAGGGTCCACTGAGTGCATAATGCACATCCTAATCAATATATTTATGTTGTTCCTCACTCACAGGACATTCAGACAAACAGGACAGTTGCATTCTTCATTTGGGGACTTGGGGAAATGTGAGACAGTGTTCACAGCCTATGTACAAGAACAGCCCCACTGCTCCTGGAGGCACATTGCCAGGAGGAGAGGGGGGACTGTCTGTGTGGACATGTGACAGTCTGCTGCCAGCGCTGCTCCTCACAGACAGCCCAAAGTGCACAGCTTCTGTACACACTATGTACACATATGTACACATGGTCATGAGGCTATGAGCTAAAGGAGCTCCAGTGCTCTGCTGCATCCACATGTACTTGTACATGTACATGTACTTGTACTTGTACTTGCTGTTGTACTTGTACATGTATTTTTACATCAGTTGTGTTCAGTCAGCTTCAGTCTGAGGAGCCTCTAGTCTGGAGCTCACAGCTTGATCATTTGGAAAACAGGGATAGGCAGGACCTGGTGAATCTTGGCCTGCTTTGAGTCTGTCTCCAGTTGAACCCAGTGTGGAACAAAGGAGCCTTTAAAGCCTATGAACGTGAACTTCTCTGCAACACAACAAAAACAACCCTTAGAACCACTGTGTGCGCTGATATTCTGTAGGAAAATATGATTTCAGTCAGTGAGACAAACTAACTAGTATCAGACTCATTAATAAACACAATTCTGGGCTAGAGTCTTTTGTGTTCTTCTTCTTTATAGACAAAATGTCCCACATTAGAATAGATAGCTGCTTGAAATATGCTGTAATACTTGTCACAACATAATTCTAGTTAACCTCCGAAACTATTTAATGTGCAAAATGAGTGTGTGACTGCAGCACCACCTGCTGAACAACATATGTACTACAGAGAGGGCAAAGAGCGCATACCTTTGAGTTTGATGGAGGGGTCGGCTCCCAGGGTGTGCAGAACCTTCATCCAGGGGCCCTTGGTCACTAAGCGGCCCTTAGAGGCCATCAAGACAATTGAGCTGAGGGTATGAGAGAGAGAGGTATGAATAACATTTACTGAGTAACTTTTTGAGTACTATTGAATATTGAACTTGAAAACTATTATTTTTAGCAATTTGATATAAACAAGTACATTTTTGGATACAATGTGCACTGTGAGTCAATTATGAGTCAAGTGACAACACTAAAAAGACGTATCTAAACAGTGTGGACTATAATGTTGGCATAATACACTCTAACCACGTTTTCAGATCAGTTTTCAGAAAAAGGAACCACTTAAAAATGCTACATGAGCAAATGACTTAAATCTGAATATTAGTCTTGATACTATTAGTTTTGAAGGTTCTTATTTTCACCTAATGTAACTAACTATACTCTGGTTAGTTAAGTTAAAAGTTAAAACCATTCAAATAGAGGGTCATTTACATAATACATATGGCCTTACTTGTCTGGGAGCTGGCTGATGTAGTTGTGGATCTGAGCGGGGATGCCCTGGAGGACAGACATTTTGAACCCTGTGCTCTCCATCACCTTCCCATCATGGCCATTCACCACAGTAACTAGCACGCCGTCCTCCGCCTGGTACTTCGTACCATTCACCTGATAAACACACAAAAGGTCAAATACATGCAGGCATAGGGTGACCAGACGTCCCTATTAACCAGGGATTTGCCCTAGATTTGAACAAGAAATGTCCCAGATGTCCTTATTTTTACAAATTTGATACCTGCCACAGTAAAGAGCGGTAATATATTGTCATTTATTTAGCTAAAATATAACAAAATTACCAAATAGCAAAAAAATGCACAGTTCTTCAGATTATGACCCACAAGTGAGTCGAGAATGGATAATGCTACGCGCTCTTTTCAGTTTTATTTATACCAACCATCCCAACCCGGAGGTGACCCTGTTTTAAATTTTTTTTTTAATCTGGTCACCCTAAGATTGATAGGTGGAGATAAATAAGTTTAATACAAAGCAATAACAACTCTCCATAGAGACAGGTAGTGGATCCTTCACCAGAAAGGTTGTATTGTGCACCTGTAAAATATTTTAATTTTGAATACTTCTATTTTAACTTGTGTTGTCATGTTAGCCATACCCAGGACTATTTCAAGCAATCAAGTACAATTTCTTTCTTTTTTTTTTTAGGTTTCTGACATGCTATGAATATTATTTGAGAGGCCATGGTTGAGCCTATTGAGTCCTCAAATGAAACATTTCAACTGTCAAATGAACAAAGTGCCATAGTTAATACTTCGTAATTACTCTTAGAAATGTCTTGAAAGGTTTGGTCTTAAAGGACCCATATTACTCTATTTTCTGATCTATGTTATATTGTTGTTTCATGATCACAAACATACCTCGAATTGTCTTTTGTTTCATTCACACATTTAACACACAAAGCCTGCATATGTAGTCTTCTTCTCTCAAACAGAAATCACTCTGTTCCACCTTATGATGTCATGCGATAATACGGGAAGTGTTCCACTGTGTTTTTAATCTCCATGCACCTTCATTATTCACTTCACACTATTTGGATAATTTCAGTGCCGGAATTGCCTATTCTGACTGCAAAAAAAGCTTGGCAAATGTTAAGATATAAACACTTAAAATCTATCAGAAAATGACTTAAAAGTAGTGAAATTATCTGTCTATGTCTATGCTATTCTTAAAATAAACTACCTCTAGACAAGAATTAAGTAGTCTCATAACTAGTAAGTAGATAATAAATCTGAAAACAAGATGAATAACTTGATATACGTTTTAAAATCTTGGCCAGATCAGAGAAATTTGCAGTGCTGGAATTGTCTACTCTTTGAACTACAGGGAAAAAAAAGCTGCTAACTAGAAAATAACCACTACATGACATCACAAGGTATTCATCATCATCAATCACAGAGTATTTTGAGCACTGACAATGTAGACAAGGAGGTGACTACTTTCTATGATGATTTAAAGATCACAGGAACCAATTTTGAATAATATGGGCCTTTAAGAACACTATCAGAACTGAAACCAAAACTTACCTCAGTGAAGGCGTAATCTTCCTTGATGTGGAAGAAGCGTTTGTTGTAGGAATCCAGACGGACCTCCAGGAAGTGGTCAGACCAGGGCTGTGGACAGAGGAAGACGTTATCACCAGAAGTACACTGCTGTATGCACACATGGGAGGTTTATCAGCTCATTGATAGCTGTACACGAGATTATCGATGCTAGAAGTTCATTACCATTTTTTTATATTTTTTACTCTGTCCCCGAAAGTTTGACCAGGTTTTGTATTCACCCTGTGTGTCTGTGTGTGTCTGTGTGTCTGTCCACCCGTGATAATTCCGCCATTTATGGACCGATTGTCACGAAATTTGATATGTGGGTTAAGCCCCTGTGCCCGATGCCACAAAAAAAAAAAAACAGTTTGGTGATCATCTGCAGTCATTTGAGGTCACACGGGTCAATTGAAAGGTCACGCCTGCACATCTGCTGGCTAAAATATTCACCCAATCATCACACAAGTTGGCACACACATAACCAAGGTACATAGGATGTTACAGGTTGAAACCGGTCAAGGTCACTTGAAGGTAGGGCTGGGCGATATGGATCAAAAAATATATCTCGATATATTTTGCTATATCTCGATATATGTTCAAGAAAAAATAACCCCCTAAAACTATAAACTGCAAAAACAAATCTGCCAAATTCCACAAGGTCCTTTTTTTTAAATTGAAGTGTAAGAGGTCGACAGTTTAACATTTAAGAACATTTAAGATTACAAAAAACCCTAATTACATAAATAATAATTTAACTGTAAAATAAAAGAAATAATATATATTTTCTTCTTTTCATTCATAAATAAAACAACTCAACACAAGTTCATCTTTGCATTAACTGTTATCCAGACCATAATCATAACCATGAGCTCATTTAGCAGAAGAAGCTCAGGATGTTCCTTATTTCAATAGATCCATGTTATTATCCAGCAGTAAGGAGCTCTGAGGTTTAATCTCACAATCCACTGCAGATCAAACCCAACGTTTCCAAACACTATTGTACAAGTGACACTGCAGCAGATTATAAATTTAAATATTCTGCATAAATAAACTTTACATTGTTAAACTTTACAATATATAAAGCATAACGACTCTAGAGCCACATCAGCCCGTTTGAGATAATAATGTGTTAATGCAGTTTTGCGCACGTGTGTTTACATTTTAAAGAAACGAAACTTAAGCTCATGGTTCATTTGCATAAACAGCACTTCTCACGCAGCTCAGCTCGTTTAGCTTCTTTCGGGCTAAAGGACGCGACTCGGTGGAATATGAGGATGTGCTGCTGATGTTCTTGTCTGTAAATGGTGGAAAAGGTTCGTGGTGCTTGAAGTTTTTCACTGGCACCAACTTTCGGCGTTCAGGGCGATAGTGACGAGTGAAGGAGACACGAGGGAACAAACTCAGGGAGGCGGAGGCGACGAGAGAGAAGGTAAACAAGCGAAGCGGCGAAATCAGAATTTAATATAAACATTATATCGATATATACGATATGTCAGAATTCATATCGAGTTTAAAAACTATCTCGATATATTTAAAATATCGATATATCGCCCACCCCTACTTGAAGGTCAAGGTAACCAAGGTCAAAAATGTGTTTTTGGTCATAACTCCACAAAGGATCGAGCTAGAGCAACGGGAGTGGTCTCAAAATATCAGAAAAACTGAACACTGACATTCTCATGTGTGACCAATATCACACAAATGTTCATGAGCACTGTACAGCTAGACACATTGCATTGTGGATATAACGGTCATGTAATATGAGCTGGGCTCCTCATAAGCTGCTTCCGTGGTGATGAACTGCCCCCACTGATGCCTCATGGGGGACCAGGTTGCTGTCTCTGATTGCACTTGTTGTAATACTGTATAGGGTGACCAGATATTCAAAATTTAAAATTGGGACACACCCGGGTTGTGATGGTCGGTAAAATTGTGAAAAGAGTGCTTAAATTGTCCTTACTCGACTCACAGGTGTCAGTATTTAATCTGAGGGACTTCTGTCTTTGCATTGTTTTTTTGTTTTTTTGCTCGTTTTCAAGCAAATTCTGTATTTTAGCTAAAAGACAATATATTGGACTCTTTACTGTTGGTGTATAACAAATCGGTTAAAAATAGGGACAACTGGGACATTTCTTGTATTAAACTGGGACAAATCAGTGGTTTTGGAGAAATCTGCTGCTTGTCCTGCATAAGTAGGGATGTCTGGTCTTCCTATTGTAATATAATGGATGTGTGAGCTACTGTGTCCCAGTAATTTCCCTTGTGTTTCAATAAAGTCTGTCAAAGTCTGAGTCTGATGTCTAAAGCTAACATAGTCAGTTCAGAGTTACAGAGACAGGAACTTTATTTGAACAAAAATTAATTTCAATGTGTGTGTACCTATTTTTTTTTTTTTCCAAATTAACTGTTCAAGAATATAGCAGAGATGATAATGCAGGGTGACCAGACATCCCTATTTACCCGAGACAGTCCCAGTTTCGAGCCCTGTGTCCCCTGTCCCATCAGATTTATCCAAAACCAGGGATTTGCCCCAGTTTTATACAAGAAGTGTCCCAGGTGTCCCTATTTGTGACCAATTTGAAACCTGCCAACAGTAAAGAGAAGCATGCATTGTCATTTGTTTTGGTAAAATACAGAAAAGCTGCTTAAAAATGGCCAAAACACAAAGAAAATGTGACTATACTGACTCACCAAGTGCATAACAGTTTTCCTTATGTACTCATTTCAGAATTTTATTATTACCAACCGCCCCAAACCGAGTGAGTCCAGTTTTTGATTTGGAAATTCTGGTCACCATATGATAATGACAATGATAACTTAACGTATAAAAACAGCTTTGAATAAAACCCAGATAAAATACTATTATAGAGATAGAGGCTGGATCTCCACTTGTAAATAGTAGCATATATAAGTGGAGTTATGCCATCACAACATAACAGTCCAATTTCCTTCAACTTATTTGCCCGTTAAGTGTTGCCAACCAATTAACTACTAATCAGTTTTAATATAAACATTATCTTTAAGTGAAGACACGTTAAGCTGTTACATTTTGCAATTAGCATGTAAAATGTGCTTCTATATCTGCATCTAGAGGCTAAAACTAGAGACTAGACCTTCTCTTTTAACGTTTTAATGTTGGAAATGCCACAAACGTCATAAAAAAAATGTCAGTTACATTTTTCCTCCTAATACTCCTAATAAATGGCTTTGTAATTAATTTGTATCTGCTAATGGGCTGTGCGCACTCACTATTATTAAAAATGTAAAATATACAATAAACAGTCTATTAAAATTACAATTAATTTACGTAAAGACTACCCACTAGTTTTTATGTGTAGATTATTTCAGTTTGTGACATAGTTAGAAAGCACTGAGACATGTCCCTTTCTAAGCACAGAAGTGAATGAAGTATGAAAAAGTCTATATTACACCATTTTCTGATCTGTGTTATACTGTTTCCTCATCCAAAACTTATCTGGAGTTGTGTTTTGTTTCATTCACACATGTTTTAAAATGTTAAACATATTAAAGATGAGAAAACTACCACTACATGACATCACAAAGTGGAACAGAGTATTTTGAGCTTTGGAGGCGTAGACAGATTAATGAACTAGGATTATTAAAAAATGTGTGAATAAAACAAAACACAACTCTAGGGATGTTTTTGATGAGGTAACAATATTATAAAATGGCTTAAAGCTCACAAAAAGAGTAATATAGAACCTTTAACCTTTTTTGTAAAGTAAAACCTGTTGTCAGTGACATCCACCTGCAGTCCCCTGTCTTTATTTAAATACTGATTAATTTTAACACAACTCAGCAAAGTAGAAAATATTTAGCCTGTCCAGCTGTGACAATAGACCTTAGCAGCAGCCTATGTGTGTGTTGGCGTGTTGGCGTACCACTTCGTTGTCTGGAAGCTTGTGGGGCATGGGCACGTCCACCAGGGGGAGCTCACGTGCGTGCTGGGGGTAGGCCTGGGACATGCAGGTACTGGGGCGGGCTGTTTTTGGGGATGACAGCCATGATCTTGATACGTTCACAGCCTTTGATCGAGCAGAAGGAGAAGCCCTCCCTGTGGTTATGAGCCAGGACCCTCAAGAAGAGCAGGCTATGGGACACACACAAAAACACTGTTATTAAAAGTTTGAGCCTTTACACACACAATTAGCAAAAAAAACAATTACCTCTAGTCACAGCACTTAACAATTCCAAAACTACAGATAAAAATAATTGCATTGTGAATTAACTTAAAAGGTATGATAACACTTCCCCACAACCAAGACATTAAGTCTGTGCTCTTACTGCCATAATAAATAAACTGCAATCACAACAAAACCTCTTAACGTGCAGATAGAGGACACATCCAAGTCTGTCTCACTCTCAGTATATGGACAGACATGGCTCATGTGAAAGCTCAGAACCTCAAGAATTCCCTCATTGAGCTGCAGAGGCTGCACTAACATGGATTCATGACTGGCTCCAGGCGCTGGGGTTTAGTGACCGTTCAGATCAGAGAGAAGCATTTTAGGTTTAAACCAACTAGATTTGATGAGGGCTTCACTCGTGAACTTATTTCTGTTTTCTGACTGGATAAATTGTCTTAGAACCAAAACATCAAATGACAAAATCAACCTTGGTCATGTAAAATATTGAAATAATAAATAAACATTACAAATGTTATCAGTGAAAGTGAAATTTGATTTGAATATGTTACCCTTGTATCTGGGCTAAAAAAAAATTTATAAAAATTACATACATACTATACAGTATCGCTGAATTCCTGTATTTTTATCTCTTAAATGTGCATTGTGTAACTTTTCTGGTGGAAGGTCTGTCAAATGCTTTTCTGCAAGGAAATGTTATTGCTTTGTCTGGAATTTTTACACAGTATGGTTTGAAATATTTCTATCTTCATGGAGACCAAACCAGACCAAGTTACAGGTCAGATCTGTGGAGGCAACCCTGCTCACAATCTGAATGCCTGTTTTTTTCTCTGTTTAATGTCATACTATGGAACATTCCAGGCAGAGCAATGACATCTCCATAGGAAAAAATAGGTGATGGACCCTGCACCACAATGCACACCTTCAATGCACCTTTCAATAACAAGTCACTTCTATTTTTTATTATTCTGTGTCCCCTGTGTTGCTTGTCCTGAAGCTCCACTGACCCGGTGTGCTCCTCCCAGTAGTAGTAGCCCCTGGTGGGGTGTGGGTGCTGCAGCTTGTCCTTGTTGTTGGTGGGGGCGTAGGTGGCGGTCTTGCGGGTGGTTTTGGCGACGCGGTCGTGCACGTCGGAGAGGATGGTGAAGGTGGTGCCTTGGGGGTAGCACAGGCCCACGTTGATCCAGTCGTCCCTATCAAAGCACACAAGAATCAGTCAAAGTGTATCGTAGGTGGTCTTGAGTCGCTTGAGTGGAGTATTAAAGGGCCCATATTACACTATTTTGTGCTCTATATTATAATGTTTCCTCATCAAAAATATATAAGGAGTTGTGTTTCATTTCATTCACACACAAACCCTGCATATTTAGTTAGTGTGTTTCTCTCAAATGGAAAATTTCAGCCCTGGAATTGCTTATTTCTACTGAACAAAAGGTAAAAGGCAACTTGAAAATTACTGCTTCATGACATCACAAAATGGAACAGAGTGTTTTGAGTTTTGGAGATGTAGACAGACTAATAATAAAGGATTACTCAAACATGTGAATGAAACAACTAAATTTTTTTGGATGAGGTCACAACATTCTAACATGGTTTCAAAGTCAACGTTGCATAATTTAGGACCTTAAAATACTAAAATATTGAATTATATTTTTAATGGGGCCGGGCACGTTAACGCGTTAACTTTTTTCACTTTTTTCTGACCACGTGAGATGCAACGTGCCCGAGCCTCCGCGAGCCGCGGGCCCGGCTCCGGCCGCGGGCTCGCTCCGGTCAGACCAGCCGTGCGCGCTGAGCTGAGCTTGTTTCTTTAGTTCAGTGTTGGAGTCACTGATTCACCCAGATACCACTGGAAGAAAAAATGTGATTGGTCCATTTCCATTCCATTATATTAACCCTTTGTTTCCCAAGAAATATCAGTCCAAGTTTATAACAATGATCTAGAAATTATCACTAGTGTGGTGTTCATTACTCACGGCCTAGAAAATATTCAATAAATATATTAGTAGTATAAAAGTCCATTCAATATTTTTTTCTTGAGCCTTCAATGAAAACCTTGAAGGCTCTGAGGTTCCCCTGTGAAAGAAATGCTGTTTGCACAACAAATGTATGGCTCTTTCATTTACATTTTCAATAAAAGTGCGCTATACTCTACTTTTTAATTCATTAATTGGTTTTGTGTATAACATGCGATTAATCACGAGTAAAAAATTTTATTTTTGCCCAGCCCTAATTTTTTAAAGAAATATTAGTAATCACAAAGAGGGTCTAAAATAAGTCAGTCCTTCCAACTTTCTGTTAGAATCCAGAAGGAGCGTGTGGCTTGGCATGATCAGGCAATTCCTCACTTATGCATTCAGAGCATCGTAATTATTCACCGCAATGGCTTTAAAAGAGCTTTTCACAACTTCTAGAAACCAGAGCGGAGCGTGTGGTTTGGATAGTCTGGCAATGCAACCACAAAACAGAGTCTGCAAATTCACAATATATAAAACATTTTACCAGTCCCTGTCTACATTAAAGTCGATATAGTTAACATTGTAATAGGCCTTGATGACGAAATAACTGTTATAAAAAACATCTCCATCTTAATTATTTGGAATATAGCACCAAAGGCTAGTCAAGGCTTTTTAAAAGGAAAAAAAAAAAGTAGCATTTCTTCAATTATGTATATAAATAAATCAATAAATAAATGACCATGAAATTAATACTGTGATAATATTGAACTGTGAGATTTGCATATTGTTACATTCCTATTAAGGACCAGAGATATGAAGGTCTCCTCTAAATTTCATTCTCATTCAAACAAGACTGGCTGTTTTTTTGTAGACACAAGATGGCGCCACTTGACTCAGTTTCAGTTCACAGACTGTTGCATCGATCTGTGCTACAATAGTTGCTGTAATGAACTGTTATGACTCAAGGGCTGAGAATCACTGGAGCACAAGTGACATTTTGGTCAATTTATCAAGGGCTTTTTTATGCATAAAACAATAAAGTTGTCTGACTATACTTTTTGCATTTAGTTGCTTAGAGAAGTGTTTGCATAAATAAAAGTAGACAGTATCATAAATCGTTGTACACTGACATCATACGTCGCTCAATTTCAACTTTTCACACGCAACGTTATAAGGATTTCATATTCTTGGATTTGTCTTTTGTTTTTGTTCTCGTTTTTACCTCATCTGACACCATAGCTACAACAACTACAGCTACTACAACTACTATAAACTGCCCGAACTAGTACAACAACCACAACTACCACAGCTACTACAACTACTACAGCTACTACAAGTACTTCAGCTACTAAAACTACTACAACTACCACAGCTACTACAACTACCAAAACTACCACAACTACCAGAACTACCAAAACTACTACAAATACTACTATTACAGCTACCACAAGTACTGCAACTACTACACCTGCCACAGTTACTACAGCTTTTATAAACTATCACAACTAGTACAACTATCAAAACTACGACTACTACTACAACTACTACAATTACTACTATAACTACCACAGCTAGTTCAACTACCACAACAACTACAACTTCAACAACTACTACTGGAGCTACCACAAGTATTAGAAGTACTACAGCTACCACAACTACTACAACGACCACAACTACCACAAGTAGCACAGATACTACAACTTCTACAAATACCACAACTACCACAGCTACTACAGCTACTACAACTTTTACAACTACCACAACTACCACAGCTACTACAACTTCTACAGCTATGACAACTGTGCCACCTGCTCTAACAAATACTGCTAGACTTGCTACTACTACTGCAGCAACTACTACTATTACAACAACTACTACTTACACTTAGCACTACTATTACTACAACTGCTACAACAACTACAATTACTACTACTGCACTTTTAAGGAGGCCCGACAGAAATGGTGTGGGTCACTGCACAGCTGTTGTATGTGTGTGTGTATATGTGTGTGTGTGCCTGTAGGGGCGTGCAGTCCTCTATATTAATAGAGTTATGAATCATTTCTGTGGTTGTCAGAGTCCACTTCCACAACAAATGTTCGCCCGCCTGCCTCGGGTCACTCGTCAAGCAGCAAAGAACAGGACCATTATATTTGTGAACAACTTCAGGGATGCTCTACTACTGTTAATTGATATTACAGCTAATTATGATATGCTAATTCCCAGTGGAGTTTCTATATATCAAAGATGCTGTATATGATAATGATAATCATATACAGCATGTATATGATTTTTACTTAAAGGTGCACTGTGTAACTTTGTGGTTGGGGGTCCATCATGTGTTTGTCTCCATGGAGATGTCATTGCTTTGCCTGGAATGTTCCACAGTATGACATTAAACAACTCTATCTTACATCTTTTTTTTTTTTTTTTATTACAGGTGGTTGTATAGCTCAAAAATACCTAGAAAAACAGGCATTCTAACTGTGAGCTGAGCTGCCTCTCCACAGACCTGACCTGTAACTTGGTCTAGTTTGGTCTCCATAAAGATAGAAAGGTTTATTTGTGGAACATTTCAGGCAAAGCGATAATACCTTGATGGAGAAAAGCAATTGACAGATCCTCTGAAGGGAAAGTTACCCATTATTTTATTTCACAATTATTCACGGTGATGCGTTTATAAGCTCTTTTCAAAACTTTCAAACAACAACTAGCATGCTAAGTGAACACTTCCTGATTTTCAGACAATAAACTTACAATATATCTGTACTGGGGAAAGACAAATTCATATTTTGCTTAAATATTGTGTTGTGAAGTGCAAGTTAGGGCACCGGCCAATCAGCGAAGGGCCATACATTCTGTGTGGACAACAATTCCCGAGATCGAGGATTTAAAGCTAAAGAGAATGTTTGATGAATTTTATCAAGGGGAAAGATATTATTGGCCTTCTTCCTACAGGATTTGGGAAAAGCTTAATATACCAGTTAGCCCCGTTAGCAGAGCATTACATACGTCACGACCAAATAGCAGCGATTGGTTAAATTTTAAAAAAGTACCTGCCTACCGTCGAGCGAATAAATCCTAATGCTGCAAGGTCTGACGGTTTCCACGAAGTGAAACCGGCTGACAGGTCAGGTTACTTTAAAGCTGCACTATGTAACTTTTCTGGTGAGTGATCTGCTATTTTGCATCTATTACTCCTAGTTTTATCACTCAACAACAGGAAAAAGCATATATTTTTACAGTGAGCGTGCTCGCCTCTCCACAGATCTCATCCATATCTTGGCATGGTTGTGTCACCTGCTTGCTTCCTTGGCGTTTCAATAGATACGTTTAATGTCATACTGTGGAAGATTCCAGGCAAAGTAATGATTTCCATGGATAAAAGCAGGTAGCGGACCCTCCACGAAAAAAGTTACAGAGAGTAGCTTTAATTTCCAATAGCATCTTGTCATGCATCCTCCACTTACATGTAACATTCCATGACATCTATACAGACCCATGTGAATCCTTAGCTTGATGTAAGAGCTCACTTTCAACACCCTTGCTATAATTCTATATCGGGGCGGACATTTTAATGGCATTCTAAACCCAAACTCAAATGACAGTTATATGAAATACCAGATGGTCACATAGAATTCCCCTGGGGGCCCTTGGGTGCTTTGGTGGGTGCTTGCGTGGGGCTCACTTGTTGAAGTTGATGATCCAGATGATGAGTTCTTGTGGTGCGGCGTGGTTCCAGTGTACTGTGTAGCCCTTGTACAGAGTCACCACAGGCTGGAACTGCTGGTAGTGGCTCTTCTTGGCCACAGCGCCCTCTAGAGTCAGGGGCCGGTCCGGGTAATCGTCTCTCACCATCTGCATCATCAGGTTGGCTGGGTTTTGGATCCTGATGTAGATCTAAAAAAAGATTTGATTTAAAAAGACAAGTGGTAAACAGAATGTACATGGCATCTCACTTAGTTTCTTGTAAGTCTGAGAATGAAAAGAGCACAAGTGACATTCCATTAAATGTTCTCGAGAAACAAAGAAACTAGACATAACTTTTAGTTTATTGCCTGTTGTCATATTATCCACTGGTTTCAGAATACATACATACCGTAGACCGTATATGTGAGTGGACATAGCTAACTGTCTTTAAAAAAGCACTTAAGGTATTAGACAAAAAGGCAACAAATTATCACTATTGCAGAATACTTGACAAATATAAATTCCTAAATTGGGACAACACATTCAAATATGAAGATTTAATTTTGGTATACAAAGTTTAGAATAATCTTGCTCCACCTCCTTTTAAGGAGTTTGTAAATAGAAATTCAAATCGCACAACAAGAGCAGCTCTAGAGGCGACTGCTCTGTGCCATTTAGGAAAAGTGCTTTGGGACAGCTCTCTTTTGCTTATCGAGCAGGTCAAACATGGAATACAGTGCCTGCTAATATACGAGAACTTTCGACACTGAGAGCATTTTCTAAAGCCTTAAAACAGTGGTTGTTCAATGGCCAAATATGTCACCATGTTTAACCAAATTACATTTTCTTTAATATTGAGGGGTTGTTGGTTTAACTCTTGGTTAACTCTTAAACTCTTGACTTTGAACTTCAAATGAACAGTTTGAAATAAATAGTATGTATAGTGAGTGTGCTGGTGTTATGTACTTTTGTATGATTGTTGCTTTACTTTTCATTGTCCTATAGATGATTTTACATCAACCTGCTGAGGGACTGAAGACGGAAATTAGCCACGCTGGCTATTTACATATTTACATTTTAATGTTCATTAATATGTGATGTCCATTTACAAATAAATAAAATAAGAAATAAGAAACGCTCTAGCTGCTGTGTGCCAAATAGGAAGTTCGCTAGGAGGCTCTTCTGGCTCCTTCTGACTGTTGCTCCTATTGACTTACATTGGAATATTGTCGCCCCTCGCTCTGTAACTGCTGCAATGAGCCTCATCATTTTGGTCTTAAAATGTTCATATTATCCCGCTCTATATGATCCTGATTTTTTTTTCCACTATTTTGTCCGTCAAAAAAATCCTATTCATAATATTGATCCTGGCTCGAGATTCGCTCCTGTAACTGTGAGCATCACGACCCTCATTTGAGCTGCGCTGAACGCTATGGGTGACGTCACACTCACTTAGTCCAATTCTTTTATACAGTCTGTGATACATACATGCATACATACATACATACACACATGCACACACAAATGCACACACACAAAGATGACTTATCTTTTGAATGAGACTTCAACTTGTTTGGGTTCATGTGCTTTTATCTCAGAAACTCTGGATTTCAATGTCACCATCAACAAAATCACACTGACCATTAACAGTGTTTAAAAGAGCTAACCCCAGTAGGCTAAGAGTTGTTGCTGGCCTTTTAAACGTTCGCTTATTTGTTTACTTTTGCTAATTAACGTTACATCAGTAATTCAATGAACAGTTGTAGTCTCTTGTGCAGATCTGTTGCTTTTATGTTATGGATAACTAACAGCAAAGCCACAGATGTAATCACTTTTAGTCAAATAGCTCGATGTATTAGATAAATAGACACATCAGCTGATTTTGGTTTCTCTCCCCAGACCTGTGACGTCAAGCGTGGAACTTGGGCAGGCAGTTTTGGCCTGAGTTCTCATGTTGTTGTACATTCAGGTGCATTTTTCAACTCAGAAAAACATTTTCTTGAGTTCCAGAGAACCGTATGAACACAATAACATATACATCCAGTTAATACATTAGTCTGAACATTATTATTACAAATGTAAATTATAAATCCATGTTTCAGAGTGAATTTTGGCTGTTGTTGACATTAAGGCCGTGTAGCCATTAGCATAACAGTGCATTATAACTGCAGAGGCTGAAAGGCACTGCAGACGCAGGTTCACACACTGGATGGACTGGAGAGAGCAACTAAAGGGAAAATAACAGAGGGAAGAACTAGGATCAATATTAAAGCTGTCGAAAGGCAAGGCGCAGCCACATTTTCTGACTCGGATACAGCTCGCCATTCTGAAATGTTGCCTGAGCTTCCAAGTAGAAAATCTGAGACGGGAAAGAGTTCCAGTTTGAATTTATAAGTCGGAACTCGGAAAATCCAGCCTCTGAGGACAACTGGAGCGCAGCATAACAGGAAGCCGAAAGCCATGAATTACTGAACCGAATAGATGTAAATGGGGTGAAGAGTGGGGGAGACATTGAGTGATTCATTTTGGAGCTGAAGATCCATCTCACTGAGTCACATTTGGTGTTATAACTTTTTAAAGGAATATGAACATGTTGGAGCGGTTTTCAGACACCATCATTTTAGTGCTTCTACAGTAATATATTTTACAGGGCCAGCTCTCACTTGAAGACACAGTGCAGAGTATGTGTCAAATCCAAATATTTTTTAACCATTTGTTTTTAACTTCTCATATATTTCATAGGAGCTAGACTTACTTACTTGATGAAATACACTCATTATATAAATTGTTGGGATTAACACATTACAAAAGTAACAAATTACTGCAATGCATTGCTTTTTGCTGTAACGCAGTAATGTAAGGCACTAGAGGGGGAAAACATGTAATATTTTACTTGGTACAAATGTCAGTAATGTCTAATGTCAGTGTTACAAAGTTTTTTTTAACCTGGACTGAAGTGGTGAGTTTTTCAATTTTCATACAAATTCACTAAAATCACCACGATATCAGCAGAAGTCAAACGCTGGAGGTGCGCCCGCTAGGTTTGGTTCTGGTTAGTCCTGTTTCCTGGTTTAGTCCTGGTTCAGCACTGGTTTAGTCCTGGTTTAGTCCTGGTACAGTTCTGGTTTTGACCTGGTTTGGTCCTGGTTTAGTCCTGCTTCAGCTCTGGTTTAGTCCTAGTTTAGTCCTGGTTTAGTCCTGGTTTAGACTTGGTTTAAACCTGGTTTAGTCCTAGTTCAGTCCTAAGTTCAGTCCTGGTTCATTCCTGGTTTAGACCTGGTTTAGTCCTGGTTTAGACCTGGTTCATTTCTGGTTCAGCTCTGGTTTACACCTGGTTTAGACCTGGTTTAGACCTGGTTTTGTTCTAGTTCATCTCTACTTTAATCCTGGTTTAGTCCTGGTTTAGACCTGGTTCAGTCCTCCATTCAGTCCTGGTTTAGTCCTGGTTCAGTCCATATATGGCGCAAAAGTCTGGCATCTTCACAATTATTTTTGTGAGAGTAACTTAAAATTCATGGAATAATAGTGTCATGCCGTAAATGCAGTAATATTGTAATATAGCATATTACTTTGAAATGACACTAACAAGTAATAAATAACACATTACAGTTTTGAAGTAACTTGCCCAAGAGTGATTATATTGTTGATTATGTATTAACCTGCATATAACAACTACATCCGAATGCTAGCGCCCCCACCTGTGCATAGTGACCGCTGCAGATGGCCCCTCTCCACTCGGGCACGTCGATGCATTCAGGGTGGCGCAGGAGCCAGTTGTCGTCTTTGACCAGGTAGGCCCCAGGGTACTGGCTCAGGGACCCGTCTGTGTCGTGAAGGATGGTGGTCTTGTCCCCATCCCTCTGCATGTGACTGAACCAGGGGCCCACCTCCCCAAAGAAGAGCCGTGAGGTCAGCTGAGGGACACAAAGAAAGTGAGGACGAGATGAGGAGCAGGTTATTTTCATAGCCAAAGTTTAGAACATCCCTGTGACCTCATGACTGGCACAACTAAAAGTACAGTTCAAAATAAAATTGAAAAAATGAGTAAATGCCAAGTACTTATTTGGAGGTGAACTTTGGGTTATATTGTAGTGCAATTTACAAAGACATATTATTTTCTTTAAAGGACCCATAATACACAATTTTCTGATCTCTGTTATTGTTTCCTCATCACATACTTGGAGTTGTGTTTTGTTTCATTCACACAAGTTTAACACACAGCCCTTGCATATTTAGGCTGAGTTCTTTGCTCAAACATAAAACACTTTGAGATGCAATTTTGTGCTAAAGATGTAGACAGATTACTAATAAAGGGTTCCTCAAACATGAGTGAATGAAACACAACTCCAGGTGTGTTTTTGAGGAGGGAACAGCATTCTAACAAGACTTAAAGCTCACAAGAGTCGATTCTGTATAATATAACACCTTTAATACTGTAAACTTATTTGTCCTGAAGTGGTCTGTTGTAGAAAAGGTTTCAAAAGTCATCTGGATAGTGTATTTGAATAATTTATTGAGATCCTACGCAGCACCATGGTCTTGGAATCATTTACAAATTATTTTAAATTGGAATCTATGGTGTCATAAAATTGTAAAAAGTATAGTGACTGAGACTTGTGTATGTTTACCTTGAGAGATGAAAATGTTTTTATATTGTGATATTTTGTGATTTTACTCTTTTGTATTGATTGTGTTGCTGCTACCTTGGCCAGGTCTCTGTTGAAAAAGAGATTCTGAATCTCAATGGGCTCTCCTGGTTAAATAAAGGTAAAATAAAACATTTATAAAAATAAATCAAGAAGTTTCAACTGTCATCCAAAAGGCTTTTTTTTTTTTTCAGATTTTTCAAACCCACAACACAGAACAGGTAAGACCAGAGATAGGTCAATATATTGGTTGGCTGACACATCAGGCCGATATTTGGATTTTTTAGCAAATCGGTTATTGGCCTTTAATCTCCAGCACACACAGCTTTATTTAAACACTTTAATATGAAGAGTTAGGTGAGTCTGAAGTAAATTCAGATAACATCATTTGAAGAAAGTAGTCAAAATCGGCCTTACAGATTGGCTCAAAAATATCGGCAGAGCTTATTGGCCATCAGTTGGATTCTCTGGATTCTCTGGCAGTAAAAATCCCCATATCAGTTAATCTCTAGTAACAGCCACATATGTGCAATGCTTCAAACCTCTACATCACTGGAGAACACACCAGAAATCATTTTCAGTCTGATCTAGTGGTCTGGTCTAGTATTTCCATCTGCAGGTACTGGTCTCAGGAGCTAGTATGACTGTACCAGACATACCTGCAGATTGAAAATGACTTGAAAATGTCAGTCGAATGGTCTCAATTTCAAAAGCATTGTCCAGATGACTACCTTTGAAACTTTTTCTATCAAAATGGTAACAGAGAAGCTATGAATATTTTCTAACATTCCCTGGCTTACCAACTGTGATGTTACGTATCTTGGTTCATGAAATACAGTTCAATGGGTTTGGATAGGTTTGTCAAGGTAACACATTTGGAAGAAAGATATATTGTTACGTCACGATAGATGACAATATTGAAACTACTTATGTTACAATAAAAATATTTTAAAATCATTTTCAAAAAGCACAATATAATTAAAGGGTCCATAATTATGCTATTTTCTGATCTATATTATAATGTTGTTTCCTCATCTAAGACATACCTGGAGTTTTGTTTTGTTTCATTCACACATTTAACACACAAACCCTGCATATTTAGGCTGAGTTCTTTTCTCAGACATGAAACACTTCACTCTGTTCTACCTTGTGATGTAGTAATGCAAGTGCTCCACTGTGTTTTAAAACTCCATACACCTTCACTTTTTGGATGATTTGGATGATTTCAGCCCTTGAATTGACAATTTCCACTAAACAAAAGGTTAAAGGTAGCTGTTCACTTGAAAACTACCGCTTCATAACATCACAAGGTGGAACAGAGTATTTTGAGCTTTGGAGATGTAGACAAACTAATAATAACGTGTGAATGAAACAAAACACAACTCCAAGTATGTTTTTGATGAGGTAACACCATTATAACATGGCTTAAAACTCACAAGAGTCAATTTGTGCAATTTCGGATCTTTAAAAAGCATGAGTTACACACAGCTACACTAGCAAAAAGTAAAATAGTTAGTCCTGGATGTTACTTTTTCATCCATCGACAGCACAAATGTTACCATATTACATGAAAAAAATAGCAGAAACCTCTTTACTATTGCAACAAAATTATGCAAACAATACATATGTCCCCTATTTCAAATATTGAATTAGATAAGCTGATATATAGTAATTACCATGACAAGATCTAGGTTTGAAATAATGATGCAATTCCAGTGATGGAACGTAAAGAAATAAAAGTAGTAAAGTACTTTACCGAAGTAGATTTTAAAACTGACACTTTTTACTTTTACGTTACTACATTTGAGAGCAGGTATCTGTATTTTCTACTCCACTACATTTTTGAACAGAACTGAATAGTAAAAGTATTTGTATTACTGTTTGAGACCAGCAGAAAAAGCAGAGGGATTTATTTTTAACACAAGTATTCTGATCAAACAAAAATATACAAATAAAAACAGCTAGCCATTGGTTTTGTTAAACAAAATTCAGCACAAATCTTTATCAAAATCAATAATTTGAAGTCTTATAAGACCTTAAAATATATGAAAAATATTTTGACTTTTTACTCTTTAAGTACATTTTTAAACAGGTACTTTAATAGTTTATTTAAAAGTGCATTAAGTTTTCAAATGCTTTTCTCCATGGAGATGCCATTGCTTTCTCTGAAATGTTTCACAGTATGGCGTCAAATCTTTCTATCTTCATGGAGACCAAACCAGACCAAGTTACAGGATAGATCTGTGGAACGGCAACTGCACTCACAGTCAGAATACCACTTTTTCTAATTATTTTTGAGCTATAAAACCAGCTGCAAATGAACAAATGTAAAGTAGAGCTGTGTTATACTGTGGAACATTTCAGGCAGAGAAATGACGTATCCATAGAAACACGCAGACAAAACAAACAAAAAAGTTACACAATCCACCTTTAAGTAGATTTTTTTTTGATATGATACTTTTACTTTCACTTGAGTATTTTTGCTCCAGTATCTGCAATTTTACTTAAATAACAAAACTGAGTACTTCCTCCACCACTGTGCAATTCTAGAAAATGGTTTAATTTTGTACAGATTTTGACCATGATATGTATATACATTTATAAGAAGAGGGTCTCTTTCTGGGCCCCTAAGACCCTGATGCCTGGGACAACAGACCCCTTTGTCCCCCCATCAACTCCCCTGTATGACTGACCGGGACTTGGTCAAAGGTGAGCTGGGACACGTTGTTGTTTGGACAGCTCTGCCAGGAGTTGTTGAGCCTGAAGCCGAGGGCGCTGGTGTGGCGTCCATCTAAAGCCACGAACTTACGGAAGGTGCAGTTATGGACGCGGATGGGCCCGTCGTACACCTGCATACCTCGCAATGGAAAGTCTCTGAGGGAAGAGACACATGTAAGATTATTATGTTATCCAAACTCACGTTCACTCACTATTCAACGGCACACTATCCTTTAGGTTCGCAGAAGTATAAAAAATCTGATACAAGTTGAAACTAAAATTAGTATCTAAACTAGACACTCTTCTGAGCAGATATCAATACTAAAAAAGTCACATTCACAAGGCAGAGATGAATCTTTCCTGAATAGCTTTAGAATGATTTTGTGCTGTATCAGAACAAGTATAAGAGCACACAGATTAGTATACACCCATGGACCACTATGGAACCTACCTGTACCACTGAAGGATTGCACAGATATAAGAGAGCATTGTAACATAAAAGAAAGTACTATGATTTAATGTTAAAAATCACATTCTATTGTCTAAATTAAAAGGGTTTTCTACTTTCATCGTGGTATCGGAAGCAGTATTGATTTATCAAGTCTATTCCTTAGTATCGAAATTGAGTTTGAAATTTTAGTATTGTAGTGACAACACTACTACCCTTCATTTCTAAACCTTCATTACTGGCAGGTAAGTCATCAAAGGTATAATATTCCCTACAAAGCAAGCATGGTCAGACTTGAATGGACCATGCTACCACAAAGTACTGAGAGTTATTTCAGTCTCATGTCTCTCTTTACAGCTCTCAGGCTACTTCAATTATTCTGCAAAAGTTACGTCTACAATGGCATAGCACATTTAACAATCTTTAAAATGTGAATGTACATTTTCAGTAGCATTTTTTTACCTAGCCTGGCCAGCCAGCCAAGATTTTACGCTGTTCATATTTTATTTGTTGATGCTGCACTGACTGCATAGCACATTTGATGCAGGCTACACAGTGATATTAAAGCTGACGTATTCCAGTGGCTTGCAAACTTTTCACGCCAAGTACCACATAAGAAAAGATTTGTTTTTCCAATTTAGGTCCATAAAAGACTATTCCTAAGTCCAAATGAAAGCTAAGACAATAGGACGTTACCATTGCTACAGTCATTCTAACTAGGGACTTACCCAAAGGAGGACAAAACTGTGTATAAAAGAGACCCTAAATTAATAAAGCTCTAGAACTGCAGACAACCAGAAATGTTCAGAAACACTATTCTGTTTTATTCTGACCAAACAAACAGATTTCAGTTTTTAACTAAACTTTTAAGTGTAAATGTGGGCTATGTGTTAGGAAGACTTACACGGCGTGAGGCAGAGAGCGGCCCTTGAGGTCCATACCCCCGGGGCCCCACACAGTGCCAGGCTGGAAGCTCCCTCTGTTGTCACTCTCTCCCACAAACAAAGAGTTCACCACCTGCTGGTGGGAGCCGTCATCATCTGGAAACGTACCTCCACTAACACACCAGCAGAGCCATGGTTACATACATCATAACACATTAAACATTAAAGATAAGATCAAGTTCACAGTGCACTGTTTTTGTTCATGAGCATATAAAAAACTGCTAGGGTTAATGCAGGGATCACATTATGCAGTGCAGACCATGTTTGTAGAGCTCTAAAGTACAGGGTCAGCAGATTTATTCAAACCCATGAAGACAGCATTTGCTGAAGAAAAGATTACACAGCCTAAATAATTGCAGCATTTGCATATGTCTGACTGTGACCATTCAAATGAAGTTTAATCTTGCAGCCACAGTAATAATACATCATAATAGAACTTGACGTTAAAATTCTGGTGGGGGTTCCGCCACATGCAATATCTCCATGGATATGTTCTTGCTTTGCCTGGTATGTTCAACAGTATAGGCAATACATTTGCAGGTGTTTTTATTGCTAAAAACATTTGTGAAAAACTTGCAGAGACAAGCAAGTGGCAAACCCTCCACCACAAGCTACACAGTGCACATTTTGGGTATGTAACATCATAATAAGGTATGTCATATTTGACCACAGAATGTGTAAGAATGTGTGACACTCTTACCTGGCCAGAGTCAGGCTAATGGCGTTATCTGCAAATCTACAAAAATACAAATATTAGGTTCAGTGAAACATTCCTCTTGACACCACAGAATGTAGTTTTATCTGTCAGACTTGAGGACTGATACTGACTGGCAGTCGTCCAACCACACGTCTCCTCCTCTCAGCCACGCTCCCTGGTCCATGTTCTTGTAGGCGATGAAGCGGTGGATCCGAGCTGGGACCCGAGGTTTCAAGGGGTCTGCATCTTGGTGAGGGCCATACCTGGGCACAAAAACAGAAAAAAACACATGGGAAGGAAGATCTGCATGATTTATTTATTTTTTTTAAATATTACAAATTACAAATACTGCAATTGCCTACATAATCTCAGAGTCAAAAATACTCAAATTGCAATCTGACTGGGATGTTCATGTTCTTTAGAAACATTCATATGCAGTTAAAATTCCTTATTTTACTGGATCATTCTAAGGTTGGAACTCGTATTGTTCAAGAAGAAAATGTTTGCCTGGGCTGGATCGCATCATTACTGCTATATATTCTAGGCAAAGCAAAGCCATCTTCATTTAGACATTGAAGCAGGTTGTGAACCTTCCACCAGAAGTTACACACAGTGTAGCTGTACCTGGATCCCACCAGAGACAGGTAGGGCCGCTTGTCCTTGTTGTTGGCTTCAGTGGTTTTGACTCCATTGTCCAGGATCATCCCAGCCTGCAGCACACATACACTGTCACTAGAGGTGCTTTAACAAGATGCAGAACCACACATGGAAGTATATAGAAATAAACAAACTGGTCAAAATTTCTACAAACAAATATTTGGTTATCAAAATTGTAATGCTGCACTTTTTGGCTTGTCTTTCAAAAATCTTGAGTCTAAAGGGACAAAACTGCTAATACTCACAATTCTTCATGTATTAAATCCTACTTTATCACTAATTTAGACATAGTTTAACCCTTCTATACTGTACATCTGGTTTAAACAGAATTGGAAAGTCAAATATTGCCTTGGGTAATCCTAAAAAGCACTGGTATGAACTGACCCTGTAGTTGGAGTGTGCCCGGTTGTTGATGAACAGGCCCATGGGGGTGAGCTCTGTCCGCCCGGGTTTGTACATGCCTTCAGAAGGGCCCGTGGGCTCATGGTGGAAGATGAACCAGTATCCAGTCTCCTGTGGAACCAAACACAAGCATGCACTATTAACATATTTGTCCAAATAAAGCAGTATTCCACTATGCAATCTATGTGAGTTTAAGCACTTGTTTTTGTCTGCAGTCCTATCACCAATCAGAAACGTATGTGTGTCTCAATATTGGAGTCAAAGTCGTTAAAGGTCCTATATTATGAGAAACTGGCTGTTATGAGCTTTTAGTCATGTTATAATGTTGTTACCCCAACAAAAACACACCTGGAGTTATGTTATTTTTTGTTGCATTCAAACATGTTTGAGTAATCCTGCATTATTAGTCTGTCTACATCTCCAAAGCTCAAAATGCTCTTCACCAGCTTGTGACATCATTAAGTGATAGTTTTCAAGGTAACAGCTACCTTTTAGCTTTAGTTCAGTAGATTATAGAAATTCCAGAGCTAAGATAATCTTAATGACTCTACTGAAGGTGTATTGAGTTTAAAAACAGAGTGGAGCATTTCTTGTATTACCACAGGACATCACAGAGCAGGGGTGGGCAAACTATGGCCCGGGGCCATATGAGGCCCTTTAATCTTTTTAATCCAGCCTGCCAAACTTGAATAATAATAATGATTTTCAGTGTTTTAAAAGTTATTTCAGTAAATAGTAAATACCGTGGGATTTGAAAGACAGATATTTTGTTGTGATGCCTTGTAATGATTTTCAATTATGGGATATTTCAATAATGTAGTCATGTAACATGTAATTTTTTTCTCTTATGAGGTGGATTACCAAAAAACTCCATCCATCTGCTTCTGGTCCAGCATTTCCATCAAATTTTAGAACCCTTTGTGGCCCATGAGTCAAAACGTTTGCCCACCCCGTCATAGAGTGTTTCCCATTTGAGAGAAGAACTCAGGTTTGTGGGTTAAACATGTGTGAATGAAACAAAATAACCATGTGTATGTTTTTGATGAGCAGACAAAATTATAATATACTGTAGATCAGAAAATAGCGTAATACTTTAAAGGTTTCTCAAAGGTGCACAGTAGAACTTCTCAGGTGATGTTTGTTATTGCTTTGCCTGGAATATTCCTTTAAATAATCTTTCTGAATAAATGTATTTCATGTCATTATCAGTTAAAACAGAATCAATGTGACACAAATTTCACCCCATAAAAGTGAATCTCAAGTCTATAACAATTCAAGACTATTTCTACAGGGACCAATTTGAGGCTGTGTACAGGATATGGTTTATATTATGATATTTTTTTGTTGTTATCAGTGCTATAATGACGAAATAGGAGGATGACGCTTATGAGTTTTTAGGCCCAGTTTTAGAGAGAGAAAAAAAATGTATTCGTAATAGTAGTATTAATGTTAAAGTATATAAATTATGCATTCTTATGGCTTTAATTCCCTCACTATAAGAAGTAATAAGCTATGCATAAAGCAAAACAGACTTTTGTTAAATATAAGGAGAGCTCTGACTTGTGTGTGTTTTGTTGCACATGAGTGTTTTGTTTGAGGAAAGCTGCTGTCTGTAGGGATGGACTGATAAACAGAAGATTGAGCATTTGCTGGATCTTGGGTCTTGACAATTCCTATGTCAAAACTGAGGCCCAAATCACTAAAAATGAGATTTAGGGACTTGCAATTAAGTAAAAAAAATAAAAAGTCTAGACGGAATTCCTATAAAAGGTCTACTAAAATGTTGTGAATTTCAGGGTTTGGAGTATAAATCCTGACTCTCCCCAGAATGGTAATGAAACATGGAAATAGTCCAAAAAGGTACATTTTGCATAATTTGTGTCCTTTAAGGTGCAGAGGATGTTTAAGGGTCATTCTGTGTTGAGTCTAGGTCATGTACTGTGCAGAGCGTGTTGGGGATTGGACCTCAGAGCCTGCAGCCGAGCAGTTCACCAGGTTGTTGTTGGGGTTGGCGATCCAGAAGGTGGAGGTGGCACTGTGGACAGAGAGGAGATGGTCACTCACACTGATGCATCATGGACTCTGAGAGGTAAATAAAGGTAAAGGTCGATGGTTGTAGTCTTTCTAATTACTTGAATTTCCCTCAGGATCAATAAAGTATCTCTATCTCTCTCCTTTGCCATCTGTGTCTGAGTATATGTCTCTAATTTCTAAAGGTACACTATGTAACTTTTCTAAGCAAGGATCTGATACAAGTTATAGAGAACCCTCCAGTAGAGAAGTTATGTATTGCAGTAAGTGCACCTTTTAACTGTTAAAATATGAGTTCCTTATTTCAACACTATAAAAACAAGATCACCATGTTGGACCTGGGTACTGCTAGCCTGATTCATCAGCTGGCTTCACTTCATAGAAACAGTCTGACCTCACAGCATTAGAATTTGTTCGCTTAATGTAACTTTAATGTTTCATTTAATCAATTGCTGCTATTAAGCTTTTCCCAAATCCCGTAGAAAGAAGGGCAATAACGTCTTTCCCCTTGATAAAATTCACCAAACATTCTTTGTTCCAGCTTTAAATCCTCGATCTTGGGAATCGTTACCAACACAGAATGTATGGCTCTTCGCTGACTGGTTGGTGCCCGAACGCACACTTCCGGGGTTCTTGCAAATCGTATATTCTGATTCCTGACCTAGTCGCTGGAGAGAAATGAAACTAAGCGGAGACACTAGGTAGGATATTTCCTCTATCCATGCAGCAAGACAGTGTTTGCAAATGTTTTCAGTTATGCTTGCTAATTAGTACTCGTCATGGATAATAGTTTTGCGGTTTAGTTCCTACTCTCACCCAAGCATGCCTTTGCATCCTTGGGCAACACATCTAACCCACTCTCCTACAGTATGTCTATGTAGTGATCCATATACGTATGTGATAAGGTTGATAATGTAAAAAAAAAAAAAAAAAAAAAGTAAAAAGGAGCTTGTGAACTTGTGATAATCTTCCATTGTGTTTAAAGCGTGTGAATCAAAACTAATAGTGTAGTTTTTCCCCTGACTCTGAAAGAAAGACTGAACTCATTTACATTCAGTGGGTGAGCACAGGCCCCCCAGGCACCCCACCACCCCCACCCTCACCCTGTCTCTACACACACACACACACACACACAAAGACACGCACACACACCCGCTGCACACCATCTCATTTGATATAATGCATTTTTAATCCATAGAAATACATCAACGTGGGAATTAGCCCCGAACACAATGGTAGGGATAAATTGGACAAAAAGCTCTTTACAAAACAGTGATTTTCTGCTGTGGAGCGTTAATTGGATCAGTTTAAATGAACATAAGAGGGAGCAGGCTGGCCCGCAGTTGCCATTACAGGGTCTATTTGTCAATGTTTAAGCTATATTAATTTCCCTATAGGCATCATATACGATGTCTCTGGAGTAGGGATGCATTAATATCAAATTTGAGTGCTACCTTGACTGTGAGATTTTACACTATTTTACAAGTCTTGACATTTTTTAAAATTTGCATTGTCTAACACTTGCGCCCGTTAATCAGAATAATGAAATGCAGACTATCGTATTTGTAATTATATTGACTATGCATAGACAGGTCAACATGCTCACCTTCTTGATGTAAGGTTAAAGTACTAACCAATAAAGGGGAAATGTTTAGGGTTAACTGAAGATCCTTGCTTACTAGGTTTGTCAAAAGTGTAGAAAATCAAATGATAATCGATACTAAAACTAGTATTGAAACTAGATTTGAGCAGGTACCGATACTAAAAATGTCACATTAACAGGACAGAATGAACCTTTCCTGAATAGCTTTAGAATGATTTTGAGCTGTATCAGAACAAGTATAAGAACACATAGACTAGCAGACACCCACGGACCACTATGGACCCTACCTGGACCACTGAGGGATTACACAGATAAAACGTCATTTAATATTGAAAATCACATAATATTGTCAAAATAAAGACAACAAAATGTGATTTTATTATCATTGTGGTATAGGAACTTAGTCTGATTCATCAGCCAGTTTCACTTTGTGGAAACCGTCTGACTGTCTGCATTAGGATTCGTTCGCTCGACGGTAGGCGGGTACTTTTTTTATTTAACCAATTGCTGCTATTTGGTCATATGTAATGCGCCGGAACGCTGTCCAAGTAATTGCCAGCACAACAGCAAACAAAGCAGAGAGTGAACATGTCTGTCAAAGATCATTGTTGTTTCTGCAAGATGAACTTGAGAATTAAAGGTGCAATAAAAAATGCGAAGTTTGTATTTGACAAAGGAAGTCCGAAGGAGGATAGTGTATGCAGTCTGCTATCTTAACTTGGGTTGTTTGAGCTCTTCACTGATTGGCTGGTGCTCGGTCTACATCTTCCAGGGTTCCTGCAAACCGTCTAGTGTATTCTGATTCCTGACCTAGTTGCTGGAGAAAAATTAAATTGAGTGGAGGCACTAGGTGGCCCCAGCCTGGCTAATAGGAACTGAGTATTTAGTTTTGAGTCTATTCCTTAGTAATGAAATCAAGTAATAATTTTAGTATCATGATAACACTAGTGCTAATCCTGCATTTGTGATGGAAATGTGCCATTGAATTTTAGAGCAGGGAGAGGTGAAATTCCTCTTCACTCTCAGTTTACATTTTAATTTGATAGTGTGTGTGGGTGTAAACATATGCACTGAGTCATGTGGGGACTAAGACCCTGATACTGTTCCTGTGAGGTTTACCACAACATGGTACAGGCTAGATCCTGTCTGGTTATAGTTAGGGTTATAAAAAAATGGAATATCTCGTACATCTCAGAAAACTGGCTGTAAGCTACAAAGGAGTTGGTAATAATAAGAAAGAAAGCGTGGGAATATAAAATACCACATTTCTGATGGATTCCAAATATCATCTGTTGTTGTTGGGATATGAAACTATGGCAATATGGTCAGTGGTGGAAGAAGTACTTGATTTTGTTAAGTAAAAGTACAGATACCAGGGCAAAAATACTCAAGTAAAAGTATCACATGAAAAAATTTGCTAAGTGAAAGTATTAAAGTACCAGTTTTTATAAGGTTTCAAATGTGTGATTTTGATAAAGATTTGTGTTGAATTTTGTTCAGAAGCAACTGAAACAATCGTTTTTCCTAGCTGCTTTTATTTGTATATTTTTATTTGCTCAAACTATGAACATATTAAAAATGACCCCCTCAGCTTTTTCAATCATAAAAATACTTTTACATTTCAGTCCTGTTCAAAAATGTAATGGAGTAAAAAGTATAGATACCTGTTCTCAGATGTAGTGAAGAAAAAAAAGTAAAAAAAAAAAAAAGTACCCACTTTAAAATGCACTTAAGTAAACTACAGGTACCTAAAATGCATACTTAAGTAGAGTACTGTACTACTTTTACTTTGTTACATTCCATGTTTTGTGTGTAAACCTGGGCAAGTCTATATCAGACATCAGACATGAGAAGAGTAGCCAAAAATGTTATTCTGAAGAAATAACACTGAAGTAGAAGTACAAATAAATACTAAGAGTATTTATTTATACTTCTACCTCAGTGTTATTTAATACATTACTCAACAAAGAGTAAAAAGTATTTAGGGAAACTTCTACCCAAGTTAGAAAAAAAACATCTGATATACAATCTGAAGTAATTTCATGTAATTGTTTGGAAAAAACATTCACTAAATTCAGCATCTGGAATTTCAGGACAGGCACAAAAATGATAAAACTAAACAAAATCTGAAGGAGCAATTGTCAACATAAAGCTTTAGTTTCTTGCAGACTCACAGTGAGAAGAGTAACCAAATCTTTTTCCCAAGCAGTACAACTGTTACACTGTCAAATATATTATCCAAATAGGCATAAAAGCATGTTGTCTGAAAACTACTCCAAGAGATATTTTATTAAAAAATAAATGTAGCTGAGTAAAGTAACAAGGTACTCCTCACCCCTGATAGACAGACTAATGCAGTACTGTATCTGTGTGTGTATGCGCATGTCTGACCTGCAGTCCTGCCTGGGGTTGGCCACATATCCGGGGAAGGAGTCTCTGGTGATGTCTCGGCACATTTTACTGTCACGGTCAGAGGGCAGCAGGGTCCCGGCTCGCACCATGAGACCCAGACAGTGGTCAAATGTGTTCCTTTCCTCTGGACCATCCTCGGTGAAGAAGCAGTGTCCTAGAGTGTCGTAACCCACCACGTCCTTCACCTGCAAACACCAAGAAGATATGAATGCACTTGATCTGCTATTTAAAACACCAATATGACGCTATTTTCTGATTTATGTTATAATCACAAACATATCTGGAGTTGTGTTTTGTTTCATTCACACAAACCTTGTATATTTTTGGCTGAGTTCTTCTCTCAAACAGAAAACACTCTGATCTACCCTGTGATGTCATATAATAATACAGGATGTGTTCCGGGATGTTTTTAAACTCCATACACCTTAACTAAAATGATTTGGATGATTTCAGGCCCTGGAATTGCCAATCTCTACTGAAGTAAAGGTAAAAGGTAACTGTTATCCTAAAAAACTACCACTACATGACATCACAAGGTGTAACAAAGCATTTTAAGCTTTGCAGATGTAAACAGACTAATAAAGCAGGATAACTCAAATGTGTGAATGGAATGAAACCCAAGTCCAGGTAGGTTTTTGATGAGGTAACTACATTCTAAGATGGCTTAAAGATCACAAGAGTAAGTTTGCATAATATAATCTTTAAAGAAGACATCAAACAAAATCTACTTTTATGAGCTTGTAACCATGTTTGAATGGTGTTCTTTACTCAGAGTTGAATTTCAATTGATTTATGATTGAGTAATCCTCTACTGCCCTACTTTTGAGAGCCCTGACATTTTCTGTTTTCACCTCCTCCCTATATCCACACATGACTATTTACTTACTTGTAATTCAAAAAAAAAAAAAAAAAAAAGAAAAAGAAAAAAAAGAAAGGAATTGGTGGGAAAAAATCATTAAGCATTAAAAAAGTAGGGATGGAAGATATATCAGTTCCAAAATCGAGGTTAGAAGTATCAGTTTTCTTGGTTATTGTATCAGTCTGGTATTGGCATAAACTGTATATATAAATGGACATAGCTAACCCACGAGCTGGTGCATTCCTAATCGGAAGTGACAATGGGCATGCTTCCAGATCCATCGACTCTGGCTCCAATTCACTTTGTATCGAAAAACTCTCCCCTCTCTCCGTGCCTGTTGCTGTGAGCCTCGTCATTTTGGTCATAAAATGTTTGTATTAACCTGCTTTACATGATCCTTTTTATTTCAGAATTTTGTCTCTAAATCATGATATGAAGTTTAATAATCTTCTTTCCCCGAAGTCGCTCTGGCTAATGATAGCAGCAGGTTTGATCGACAGCGTTGCTAAATGGCTGCTATGTACTAAACCGGCAGGTGGTAAGGGGAGTTACCTTCAACAGCCTCACTCTGGATTGGCACTTTGGTTGCTATTATACAAGCGGTTGGAATTTCAAATATGGAACTTGGTTCCAAATCCGCCACTATTGCCTGGTTTCACTCACGTGACCCTGATGACACGCGAAATGGGGAGCAGGAAGTCTTTTGCTCCGCTTCAAAACATAGCACAATGGGTGACAACGAATATGCTAAAAGTGTGAATGGGCCAGCACAGACCCGCTATCACGAAAAAAATAACTCTAAATATAGGCTGTGACAGGTACAATACGGAGAAGTCAGACTTTTCATACAAGGAGGATTTGCCCAGTTTTGAGGAGATGGATATAATAAAATGATCTGGTGCTGCAGCCCTTGTATTACACTGCGAGCCAAATGAAAGTCTTTAAAATCCTGGAGGCGTACAACTATTTTGTATCTGGTTGGGTTATAAAAAGGTATAAAACGGGTAATTATAGCAGTAAGCTAATAAAATTAGCACCACATAAAGCTTTTTGAATGATAAGTTAGGCCCTATAATGCAACAGTTTACCTGTCACTTACTATGCTTGTCTTTGTAAATAATTGTTCAAAAAAACTTTTTAAAATATGAATTAATAAATGACACAATCCTTACCTGTTACAAAGTGGTCGCTGCAAACTCTAGCACTGTCCATTTCTGCGCCTCCTGTTTTTAGCTGTAGATTTTTTATCCACTTTTGTAATATTTTTCTGTAAGTTTTTGGAAGCTAACTCCCTTGTTGCACACCACTTTTGGTACACAAATAAAAACTTTCATCTTTCTCCCGATTAGAGTACTTGTAGCAACCATAGGCTGCACAGAATAGACATTTTGGTGCCTAATCAACGAAGTTAAATGGGGTTTTGTGCATCTGTCTTTACTTCCTGATCCCCATCTGCTTTTGTTGATGTCAGCGTAACGTCATCTAAAACCCAGCAATAACTGCCAACCTCAACGAGCTTCATTTGACTGGACCCGAACACTAAAGGCGATGTCACTCCCTAAATGCACTTCTTTATACAGTCTTTTGAGATTTTGATGGTTGGAAGCTGCCTCAGTCTTTTTGTGCATGTGTCTTTCCTTTTGCTATATGTTGACAGAAAATGCAACTAATTATTTAACATCCCAGGTAAATGTATTTTGTTATTTTATTACAAAGTGAAATGTTAATTTGTGAACTTCATTTTAACTGTAACTTGTAATTGTAACTGTAAATTGTAAATTTATAAGCCTAGTTATTGTTTTTTTTTTTTTTTAAATGTTAATATAGGTATTTGCATCAATTCTCATCCCTAGCAGCAAGAGAAATATTATAAAAAAAAACAAAAAAAACCCCAAAAAACCCATCCAAGTTACACCCGAGATCAAACCCTTCTCACTAATGCAGAGGTGATGGGTTCTCACCAGGAGGCCGTTGGTGCCGTGGATGGTGACGCAGCGGGAGAAGGAGTGGTGTACGGACACATGTTGGATGGAGGTGGGGGGGTCGTAGCCTCCTTTCTCATCCACGTCCCCGTTCATGTGGAAATGGATGGGGTAGTGTCCCATGGTCTGCTGGCCCATGTGCTGGAGCTCCAACCCGGATAAGTGCACGGCCCGGAAACCCCTCTCCACCTGTCCAATCAGAAGCAATATGTTAAAAGGTTCATTATAATTGCAGTATTCAGGGTATTTGAACTCCTCACCTTAAAATCAGTATGTTCTGTTTTCAAGCAAATATTGTATGGACAACAAGTAATTAAACCTGGATTTATGAACACAGTTTCAAGGTTGCAAATCCCAAGTCAAGTTCAAGTCATGTCCGAAGTCAAGTCCCATGTCACGTCCTAAATCATATCCTAAATCACATCCTAAATCACATCCAAAATCACGTCTTAAGTCATGTCCGAAATCACCTCCAAAGTGACACCCAAAGTTATGTCCTAAGTCATTTTCCAAAGTCACACCCAAAGCCGTGGCCAAAGTCATGCCCAAAGTTACGTCCAAAGTTATGTCCCAAGTCATGTCCCAAGTCACGTCCAAAGTCACGCCCAAAGTCATGCCCTAAGTTGTGCCCCAAATCAGGCCCAAAGTCACGCCCAAGGTCATGTTTAAATCCACATCGCAACTCATGTCCAAAGTTATGTGCCAAGTCATTTCCCAAGTCATGTCCAAAGTCACGCCCAAAATCATGCCCTAAGTTGTGCCCAAAGTTAAGCCCAACGTGACGCCCAAAGTCATGTCCAGAGTCATGTCCAAAGTCACGTCCCAAGTCATGTCCAAAGTTATGTCTCAAGTCATGTCCCAAGTCATGTGCAAAATCACATTTAAAGTAACGCCCAAAGTCACTTCCAAAGTCATGCTCAAAGTCATGTTCAAAGTCATGTCCAAAATTATGTCTCAAGTCATTTCCCAAGTCACGTCCCAAGTCATGTCTAAATTTATGTCCCAATTCAAAGAGTGTTTGTTCAATTGGCCTTCTCAAGACAAATACCAGCATAAAATGGGTGGAAATAGTGGGAAGAGACATTCAGGAAATTGTCAGAACTGAGGTGACACAGTACCTTTTTATTTGATATTATTTATTACAAATTCTAACCCCACTTCTGCTCATGCCAGCCTGAGCACCTCTGGGTGGGCTGCCTTTCTGAGCACCATCTTGTCTTACTGCACAGACACCCTACACCAGGTTGGGCCCATTATTTTCACACGCATGGCGTTCACTTAGCCTGTTGGCCTGCTGCCTGCCTGGGCCCTGGGGGGACATACGGTATAGACGGGCATATTTCTGACGATTATGATACCAGAGCTGATGAACGGATGGCACGCTCGAATGCAACACATCCAGATCAAATTCCTCTGCCTGACACCCACAAAAAAGAACTCGCGTGCGGTTTGGGTGAGCAGAAATGTGTCTATAAATTTTACTGTGTGGCAGGAAGAAAACATAAATCTATCCTTTTTGATGCTGTCAAACTATATAGACCAACGCTGAGGCAAGAGCAGTTCAAGTTAAATGGAGGAATACTCTTTTGGCATTGCTATATTTGAACTTATAGAGATTAAAACATGTTAATGGAATTCCACAGATTGGCATGTAAAGGTGCACTATGTAACTTTGTTATTGCTATGTCCTGAATGTTCTTTAGTAGATAGCATTAGACTTATCTATTTAGCATTTATTCAATTACAGCTGTTTCTATTGCTTAAAATACCATGGGAAACATCAAACATTCCAGGCAAATAGCATGCCATCTCCATGATAACACTCAGGGTATCTACTAGGCACCTTTAACTAAAGTTGTACTCTGTAACTTTTCTGGTGGATGGTCAGCCACCAGGTTGTTGGTGTAATGGCTTTTCGCTAATAAAATACATCCCTCTCCATGGAAAAAAGAGAGTGTGACGAGAAGTTACGAGTCAGATCTGTGGAGAGGTGACCCTACCTCTTAATCCCATGTTATTTGAGTGTTATGATTTTATGAATAACAACGACAGCCTGCCTGGGGACTACAGATGAATGCATGCATGAATCTCTCCTGTTATTTTGTATTTTTTACCATGTGTTTTCATTTCAAACGTACCTTGAGGTGTCCTCCAAAGGTATCGAAGTTGAAGAACTTGCATGCGCTCTCGTTGTAGCACTCGGGCTGCATCTCTCCTCTGAGCAGGATGTTTCTGGTCAGCAGGCCCACCTCCGCTCTCATGTCCACCCCGTCCACCAGCTCACCCATGTGGAGAAACTGTGCTGTACCTGAATGCACCGCACACACATCACAATCAAAATATATATTAACATTATCTCTTATTACACTGTTTTGCTTAGAATGTAAAAGATTTGAGAGTTAAGTTTATTGCACGTCATCTCATCATTTGTACCGGGCAAAGTGGGTGTAGTGTCTTCCCAACGATAGTATGCATGAAGCTGGGATTGAACTGTTGATCAACCTGGTGAAATTCTCTTCTGTGCCACTGATGCAGGATTTAATACCACTTTTAAAATACCTACATGTTGTAAGAAGTAAGTAAGTATGTAAGAAGGTTGAAGAATAAACCCAAATAGTGCAAGAGTTGTGAGAAAAGGCATGAGGCTGGAGTTCTAATACAGGATAGTGATAATGTTATGCTACCACAGTAGGGAGTATTATATCTCTGACAAAGTAGGCCAAGATAACAAGGGCTGAGCTGGCAGTGTGGGGCTGGTGCTGTACAACAATTTCACAGTCTAATAAAGATAAGTCCAAAGCCATACTGTAGAACATTCCAGACAAAGGAATAACATCTCTATGGAAACAAGTATGACTTTACTTTCTGCCAGAAAATGTAGATAGTGTATCTTTAAAAGTGCACTGTGTAACTTTTCTGGTGGAGGGTCTGTTACTCTGTCGAATGCTTTTCTCCATGGAAACGTTCTTGCTTTGTCTGGAATGTTTCACAATATGGTATTAAACCTTTCAATACTTCAGTTACAGGTCAGATCTGTGGAGAAAGCCTGTTTTTCTGGGTATTTTTGAGCAGCAAAACCATTTGTAATTGAATAAATGACACCCCAAAAACTTTATAAGTCAGTTTAGATAAATAGCTACATGGGAGATAGTTAGAAAAAAGTTACCTCCTCTGTCCAAACAAACAAGTCCACACAGACATATAACACATACACACACTGTACAGTTTGAGGGACAGAACAGCGGCCGCACCTCTTGAGTCTCGGTAAATGTCACGATGGAAATAGAATCATGCTAGCTCCAGGCACCACTCTTCACTTAACATCATTTATGCCATTTACAAGAGTTCAGATGAGACAACTAATCCTGGTACAGTTATGATCACTGAAGGCCGATACACACACACACTCACACACACGCAAAATGGAGGTATCAAAGTCTTTATTTTATTTTTTGTGAAAGGCCCCATATTACGCTATTTTCTGATCTATGTTATAATACCTCTTCCTTATCAAAACATACCCTTGCATATTTAGGCTGTGTCCTACCTTGTGATGTTATGTGGTATTACAAGATGTGCTCCTCTGTGCTTTTAAACTCCATACACGTTCACTAGAATCATTTGGATGATTTCAGTCCTGGAATTTTTTAATTTAATTTTTTTTTATTAATTTATTTATTTATTTCATTCATAAAGCATAAAAAGACATCGACAGTGTCACAACATCAAACACACAAGAAATGAATGAAAAGGAGCAGAAAGAAGAAAAAATCTTATGTTATCTGCCCCCCTTTCCTTTTTCAAGACAAAACATCAACACCGATGGTCACTAAACATTCCATATTAATTCAGGCACAATTACTGATCAATTGCAAACAGTAAATCTTCATTATTATACACAACTTAGTTTTCTTTTTCATACAGACACAGTGCATTCGATTTTATATGTTTTTTAAATGTCATCATTGTACTTGATTCTTTTATTTCTTTGTCAAGACTATTCCATAAGTGAACTCCTTTCACAGTGACACTGCCGAATTGCCAATCTCTACTGAACTACCGGTAGAAGATAGCTGTTAACTTGAAAACTGCTAAACTACTGCTAAAATGACAAGGTGGAACAGAGCATTTTAAACTTTGGGGATGTAGAGAGACTTCTAATAAAGGATTACTCAAATTAATGTGTGTGAATGTGTGAATGAAACAAAACACAACTCCAGGTTCACAAGGGCTGATTATGCACAATATAGGACCTTTAAACGTGCACTATGTAACTCTTATTGTTTTGTTATTTGGTATTTATTCAAGTATATGTGTATTTGTTGCTAAAAAATCCATAGTAAAACTAGAAAAGCACTCAGAGAGCGCAGACCTCAGCCAAAATTGCGATAAAATCAGTCTTCTGGATCAGATCCGGATCAGCCTTTGGAATATGAAAGAGGATCCCATTGTCCATCCCTGAGTCAAATTTCATGGGGTTTGGTCAATAATTAACCGAGATATTGAGAAACAAAATGTTTGGCCCCATTTACCACAATGTTAACTAAAATTTCAAAGTGATCCAGAATCCAGGATTTCTTCCGGATCACCCCCAAAATGAAACCAGTTCTTCCTTTTCACATTTCCAACAAATCCTGAAAATTTCATCAAAATCAGTCCATAACTTTTTGAGTTATGTTGCTAACAGACAAACAAACAAACAAACAAACAAGCAAACAAACAGACAAACGCCGGCAAAAACATAACCTCCTTGGCAGAGGTAATCAGTTTGAAACCATGAATAAACCAGGGCACAACCAGACTAAAGTAGGACTAAATGTTTTTTTCACCCAAATCAGAACAAAACCGGACCCAACCAGGACTAAATTAGAACGCGCCCAGAACTAGACTAAATGGCAATATGGTAGATATTAGCGTTAGAAAATTTGTGACATAGAGATGTAACAATAACTGAAATATCGCAATATTGTATCGTCAAAGTTCTCACAATAATATCATGGACCATCACAATATATCGAATTATAAGTCTCTTTGCTTAAATTAAGAGGCATGGTACAGCAATAGCTAAAAAAAAAAAAAAAAAACACACACACACACACACACAGAGGGAACTACATAGACCATGATCCTTTGCTCCATTTCAGTGTAGACTACAAGAAGAAATAACAGTTCTAAGCACTTTTAAGAATTAGTTCTTTGGATTAAGTCTTGTCAAGGCATTTTAAGAGGAAAAAAGTAGCATATTGACAGTTATGTTAGCCTCCACAAAATAATAAATATTGTACAGTGAGATGTATATTGTGAAAATATTGTACCGCCTCCCCACCATATCGTGAGCTTTCCCACGATATCGCAATAAATATCGTACTGCAAGGTTCATTTAATTTTGACACTACCACTGACCTATAAGCACAATATAAAAGGACACTTCTGACCAACATTTTGAATTTGAAAACAACTGAACTGGAAATGTATTGAAAAAATACGATTATTGTGAATATTTTGATAAGATTCTGGAGTCCTCGTTTTGCCCCAAAACGTCACTTATGCCCTTTCAATTTTCAGCAGCGTTGAATTCTCAGAAAACAAACCGCAGTAGTAGCTGACCTGTGCTGACTCCAACAGTAAAGAGTCCTGTGAGAAAAGTGTGAGAGGACATATTCATAAACATGTCAGCTGCCGTTAGTTTAACCGGTCTTCAACATCATCACCGTCTGAGGCCCAGTCTGAGGCCCAGAGGCAAGACTTTACATAACAAGGACCTCACTGTCTTGTCAACGCGGCGATTTAAAATGCCCAAAATACAACATGAGGATCCATGATATCATAGATAATCCGTGTATCATTCGTTCATTCGTTTTTCAATATAAAACCAAAAATAAGAAAATGAAAAAAACAGCAGTTTTCTTCGTTATTTGTCTCCAAAATCAAAAGTTTTCGATTTTGTGTTTAAATGAAGAATGGAAAAAACGGATAACGACCGTTCCCCGTTTACGTGACTTCAGTGACTGCGATGCCGGACTTTTGCACCGCATACGGACTGAATCAGGACGGATCCAGGTCCGAGACCAGAGCGGGACTGAGACCGGGACCAGACCGAGACCAGAGCGGGACTGAGACCGGGACCAGACCGGGACCAGGGCGGACTCCGAGCTTTGACTCCGAGCCTCCACGGGGTCCGAGCCTCAGCTTCGAGCTCCGGCCCTGCCGTGGGCTCTGAGCCTCCGGTCTGGTCCCGGTCTGGTCCTGGTCTTGTCTCGGTCTCGGTCTCAGGCCCGCTCTGGTCCCGGTCTGGTCCCAGTCTCACCGCATACGGACTGAATCAGGACGGATCCAGGTCCGAGACCAGACCGAGACCAGAGCAGGACTGAGACCGGGACAGAGCTGCTCTGGTCCTCCGCGCTCAAGAACCGCGGCTGGTTCCGAGGTGGTGCAAAGCATCCGACCGACGCATTCAGACCAATGAAAATGAATCGAACTAAGAGCTTTTGGTTCAAATGGACCAGGTCCGGGACCAGACCGGGACCAGAGCGCTACTGAGACTGGGACCAGACCGGGACCAGACCGGGCCTGAGACCGAGACCGAGACAAGACCAGGACCAGACCGGAGGCTCAGAGCCCACGGCAGGGCCGGAGCTCGAAGCTGAGGCTCGGACCCCGTGGAGGCTCGGAGTCAAAGCTCGGAGTCCGCCCTTGTCCCGGTCTGGTCCCGGTCTGGTCCCGGTCTCAGTCCCGCTCTGGTTTCGGTCTGGTCTCGGACCTGGATCAGTCCCGGTTCAGTCCGTATGCGGTGCAAAAGTCCGGCATCGCAGTCACGGAAGTCACGTAAACGGGAAACGGCCGTTATCCGTTTTTTCCATTCTTCATTTAAACACAAAATCGAAAACTGAAAAAACGAATCGTTATCCGTTTTTTCATTTTGGTTTTGGAGACAAATAACGAAGAAAACTGTTGTTTTTTCGTTTTCTTATTTTTGGTTTTATATTGAAAAACGAATGAACGAATGATACACGGATTATAGATTATAATATGTATTTGTTAAAATATAATGTTTTTTCCTCATCATAAAAATACCTTGAAGTTTGCTTCATTCACACATGTTTAACACGCAAAGCCTGCATATTTAGGCTGAATTCTTCTCCCAAACGCAAAGCAATCTGTTCCATCTTGAGATGTCAGGTGGTAATACAAGGAAGTGCTCTACTGTGTTTTAAAACTCCATATACTTTCCCTAGAATCACTGACTGAAATCAGGTACAGGCCCTTGAATTTCATCATGTCTCTTACACTGTGGGAGACATACAACCCAATACATGTTTACAGGTTTTGTGTTTTTACAATTATTACTTGGTTTGGTGGGATAATAACTGTGTTAAATATATAAACATATTTTTGTATCAGTTAAGTGGCAGTTTGTGGCGAAAAGTCCAAAAATACCTATGTCATCAACAAAAAATGTTCATCTAAAATGCAAACAATTGAGGCGTTAAGCCCAAGGCACACATTTTTAAGTGTTGTCATCTATTTAAATCTATTAGTCTAGTCATCACTGTTTTGCTCTCCAGACAAGTTTTGGCCTTTGTTAAGATTATGGCTGCTTTTGATAATTTGCAGCCGATGTCATCAACATTCCCTGGGGTTGTGATAAGGATAAGATAAGATAAGATAGGATACGATACTCCTTTATTCTCCTGTGTGGAAGAAATTAGTCTTAGGACAGGGGGTCACATGCTTTAACACAAAGACAAGACAACACAGCAACAACAAAAGCCCACACCAACATCAATCATAGAACATAGATAAATAAGAGACTAAGTTTAACCATGAGTGATACACCAGCAGGACCTATAAGTCACTCTATACAGGCAAGCCCTTCACAGCCTATGTACAGTTTTTATTACACATTCCCTAAGCCTATGTGCAGTTTTGATTGCACATTACCCTAAGCCATAGATCTACAGCCTTCTTCCTCTGGTGAGCTACTTCTACAAAACAAAAATGCCAGAGAGCTGTCATTTTAGCAATCACAAGAAACTGAGCATTTATAAAAGCCACGGCGAGCCTTAACTGAGGTACAGTTAGATACCTATAAAACATAAACCATTATCCATTTATTTGTGTACAAAGTTAGGCATCAGAATGATACATGTACAATGTATCAAAGTAACAGACTTTTTTTTTTTTAAATCAAATTTTACCTATTCAGGACAATACGTGTAGATTCAGAAATCCCTTAGCGAGCTACTTGGAATGGGGTGGAGAGCAACCAGTAGCTCCCAAGCTACAGGTTGGAGACCCCTACCCTTGGCTTTGTGCACATTCCCTAAGCCTATGTGCAGTTTTGATTGCACATTCCCTAAGCCTATGTGCAGTTTTGATTGCACATTCCCTAAGCCTATGTGCAGTTTTGATTGCACATTCCCTAAGCCTATGTGCAGTTTTGATTGCACATTACCCTAAGCCTGTATGCAATGCTTGTCTATAATTTACTTTTATTTTTTTAACTGTACTCTCTGAGTTTAGCAGATGAATGGCTAATGGCACAAAATAATGTTTGAATCAGTTCAGGTTACATTCTGGGGCCCTGTACCTTCTGCCCGACGGCATCAACTCAAACTGACTGTGAAGAGCATGGGCTGGGTCACTGGCCACCTTCCTGCCTAGTTTCCAAACAGCTTGGCATTTAAGATATAAACACTTACACTTACACTTACACTTTATCAGAAAATGAATTAAAAGTAGTGAAATTATTCATCCATGCAGCAAAATAATTTTACTTGATAAGCTATCTTAAAATAAACTACCTCTAGACAAAAATGAGGCAGTCTCAGAACTAGTAAGTAGATAATAAATCTGAAAACAAGAAGAGAAGTTTTAAAATCTTGGCCAAATCAGAGAAATTTACGGTGTACTGATTATTTTACTCAATCTTTTAGTCATGGTGATGCTAACTGTAAACGCTGCTCTATGTGAGGCTTGTAAGAATTGAATCTGAGCTTTATATTCACACAATCTAAGCATAAAGAAGTGGTTTAGTTGGAACTAGAACAAGTGAGATCATTTGTGCTGTTATACAAGTCTCTCACACACAAAATGACACAAGCTAGCTAGCATTAGCCAACAGTTTTTCAGCTAGGCTCTCGTTTTTGTTGAAAATCAAACACCTAAACAGGACTGTGAATGCCGGATTTCAGCAGATGTGACATACATGATGAAAAACTTCACAAAAATTCTAAAAACTAGAAGAGATAAGAGCGCTGTTTCCGACAACAACATGAATAAGGGAGGACAGCCAACATGGTCTCATCCTCAAGTGTCATCCTTCTAGATCTGGAGCTGATAACATTTAAAGGGTCCGTATTACGCTATTTTCTGAGCTCTGTTATAATGTTCACATCACTAACATACCTGGAGTTGTGTTGAGTTGTGTTTTGTTTCATTCAGGCATGTTCTTCTCCACTTTCATGTCATGTGGTAATACAGGAAGTGCCCCACTGTGTTTTTAAACTCAATACACCTTCACTAGAATCATTTGGATAATTTCAGCCCTGGAATTACAATAATGAACTAAATGCATGACACTATCCCAAACAGTTGCTTCTAAGTGGCAGAGATGCATCGATCCAGCTTTTTCACTTCAATACTGATTTCGATACTATAGCTTCAAGTATTTTCCCATATCCAATATCAAGTGATACTAGTGCAGTGACTGAAAATTGTATTTAATTTCCTTTTAAACAATAAATAAGACAAAACTGAAAGGCATGTGTTATGTGTACTTACTGTTCTCAATCTCTCAAAATAAGTTAAAGAAAATGTTTTAAAAATTTAGTGACTGAAATGTGTATGTTTTTCTCAAAAGATTTTGTGATACTTTGTAATTTGACTGTTTTGTTTTGTATTGACTGTGCTCCTGCTACCTTGGCCAGGTATTGAAAAAGAGATTCTGAATCTCAATGGGACCTTCTGATTACATAAAGGTAAAATGAAAAATGAAAAAATGAACACCAGAACAATTTTGTGTCAATAAAAGTTCAAATATTATGGGAATTTCTTCACCTGATTCATCAGCCGGTTTCAGTTCATAGAATCCGTCTGACCTCGCAGTGTCGTTCTCTCGATGGTAGACAGGTACTTTTTTTTTCCATTCAACCAATTGCTGCTATTTGATCGTGACGTTTGTAATGCACTGCTATCGGGGCTAACTGGCTTTTGAAAACTGTCTAGTGTATTTCAATTCCTGACCTAGTTGCTGGAGGGAAATTAAATTCAGCGGAGGCACTAGGTGGTGCCAGCCTGGCTAGGAATTTCTTGGACAGACTGCAAACAATACAGTAAATAGTTTAATTACATACATTTTTTTGTCCAACCAAGATATTGATTTAACCGATATTTGTAAGCTGATATCCGATCAGATAGAATCAGATCTTTCAGTATCTGCACTGATATCCGATACCATTACTGAATCAGTGCATCCTGCTAAGTGGGCGGGCATAAAAGTTCATAACATGTTCCTAATTCACAGTTTAAAATCATGTACAAACGCTTGAATTTCAGCATGTCCTCACCTGCCACTCTGATCTGGTTGGAGGCACAGCTGGGACAGGGCAGCAAAGTGAACTCTTCGGCCTGGTGCATGGAGTAGTCCGTACTGGCCACCACGATGCGGTCCCCGGGGCCCCAGCCCTGAGGGGGGTCAGCCAGCTCCAGGACGCTGCTGTTGGACTGGGAGTCAACGGAGATGTAAGCGTGGGGACGCACTGTGGGAGACATACAACATAAGACATGTTTATACTGTATATTTTCATATTATATTATATTATGTTTTTATATTATATTACTTGGTTTGATGGACAGAGGCAGAGTTACCATTGGGCAAAAGTAGGTGGCAGCCTAGGACACCTGAACCTGGAGGGGCCCCCAAACAATTGCCCTTGTCATTACCACTAATGGCCAAGGCCTCAGAGTAATTTGATTTTCTCTCAATATGACATTAAATGAGAGCAGTGTACTTTTAAACAAGAAAACACCATCAAAAAGAAAAAGAGTATCTGATTGTCAAATTTATTTTAACTGTCAAAACATTTCCCTCTTTCACATTAGAATGGACTAGTCAGCTTGACCCTGATTTGAACACAGTTATAGCAATATCATAATGGATGTAAACAAAAATGTAATTGTACTAGCAAAAAAATATAACTACTTTCAGCTCTGGTTATGTAGTAGGCTACCGAACTAATAAGACAAGTTCCAAGTCCAATCCACCCTAATTCAAATGGAGATGTGCATGTCTCAAGAACAATGGGGAAAAACAGACAATAAATATTAAAGAAATACAAAAACAAAAACATAAACAATCAAACAAACAACAAAACAGTGCATTATAGTGAGGGCCGCAAACTCAAGTTCACCTAGGGCCCCCAAAATTGTTAATTCCGCCACTGTTGGTGGGATAGTAACTGTGTTAAATATTGATTATATTTTTGTATCAGTCAAGTGGCAGTTTGTGGTGAAAAGTTTCAAAGAAAAATACAAAAACACAGGATGTGGCGGTGAGTTCTAAAAGAGAATTTCTCTCTTTTTTTCATCCAAAATGCAGAAAATTGAGCTTTGAGCTTAAGGAACGCATTTTTAAGTGTTGTCATCTATTTCCATCTATTAGTCTAATCATCACTATTGTGCTTCTTTGTTAACATGATGGTTGCTGTTGTGCTATTGATACTTTGGAGCCGGTGTCATCAACATTCTCTGGGGATGTGACGCTAACTGTAAGCACTGCTCTGTCTGAGGCTTGTTAAAATTTAATCTGAGCTTTATTTTAACACAATCGTGCCATAAAGTTGTTTAATTAGAACTACTACAGGTGAGATTATTTGTAGTGTTAAACAAGTCTCACACATAAAATTACACAAGATAGCTGGCATTAGGTAACAGTGTTTCACTTAGTCACTCCATCAGCAGGTGTGACATATGTGATAAAAATAAAACTTCACAAAAGTTCAAAAACTAGAAAAGACTGCTGCAAGGTTTTTAGTGAAATCTTAAATATAACGATATTTTAGTGAACGTGAGTAATCTAACCTGCCATATGCATTGTAACAAGAGATATGTGTGAGGATAACAATGTCACTGCTGCTTCTTGTCAAAATAAAAAGACAAAAACAGACAATAATCACATATGACTAATTACCCAGAATCACCCCAGCCCCGGTCAACAGAGAGGTCAGGTTACTGGAATGTTCTATTTTATCTTGAAGAATGAAGATTATGTAACAAAGTTTTTTTTAAAGTTGTCAACAGTTTAAAAGAGTTCCAGTGAAGATGTTTTGGGGTTACTGGCAGACGACTGAATATATAATACAAATAAGGGTGGGGTCTAGCATGGAAAACATTTAATCAAGATTTTGGTTGGTACGTAAATGTCCTAAATTACACAAAACTGATTCTTGTGAGACTTGAGCCATGATACAATGTTGTTACCTCATCAAAAACATGGAGTTGTGTTTTCTGTCATTCACGCATGATTGAGTAAGCCTTTATTATTAGTCTGTCTACATTTCCAAAGCTCAAAATGCTCTGTTCCACCTTATGATGTCATGTGGTGGTCATTTCCAAGTTTTTAGCTTTAGTTCAGTAGAGATGGGCAATACCAGGGTTGAAATAATCCAGATGATTATAATGAAGGTGTATGGAGTTTAAAAACACAGTAGAGCACTCCCTGTATTACAACATGACATCACAAGGTGGAACGGAGTGTTTTCTGTTTGAGAGAAGAACTCATGCAGGGGAAATGCAGGGTTTGGTATGGTTTTGATGAAGAAAAAACATGATAACCAGAAAACCACCCAGAAAAGTTACACAATGCAGCTTTAGAAACGGGTAAGTGTAAAATTGGAAATTGGAGGAAGTAGGTATTTAAATTAACTTCCTGTAGATCTCACAGTATTTATCAAGAATGCTATTTCAGACAACAAAATGAAGAAGGGTGCACTCATCCCAAAGTGTTAGAACAACACCCATGGTTCTCCCTTCCTTCTAGATTATCAGTTGACAAATTTGTATTATAATTAGCAACTAACAGTCCACATAGCCCATATTAGGCTGTTTTTTGATCTGTTATAATGTATAATTTTCAAAAACATACCTGGAGACTTTGTTTTATTCACACTTGTTTACCACACAAACCCTGTATATTTAGAGTTTTTTTCCCAAATGGAAAATACTTTCCTCCACATTTTGATGTCATGTGGAAATAGAGGAAGTTCTCCATTGTGTTTTTAAACTCCATACATCTTCACTACAATAATTTGGATACTTTCATCCCTGGAATTACAATCTCTACTGAACTAAAGGTAAAAAGTAGCTGATAACTTGAAAACTACTGCTTCATGACATGATGAATTGGAACTGAGCCTTTTAAGCTTTGGAGATGTAGACAGACTAATAATGCAGAATTACTCAAACATGTGAATGAAACACAACTCCAGGTATGTCTTTGATGAGGTAACAACATTCTAACATGACTCACAGCTCAAAATAGTCAAGTTTTTAGGACCTTTAAAATATTATCTGTACTCATTTACATGAATAACATTAGGGTGGTACTTGAAGAGGCTGTACCTGATAATGTTCATGTAATAAAGTACATTTATTTTTTCCCCAGTACAAAAGAGAAAAGTTAAACCACTGTGTGCTGTCTGCATCTAATTCCAAAGTGTTTTTATTGTCTGCGAACTAGAACCAGCTTCTGAGATGTGACGAGATCAGGCTTTGACAACTGGTATGGCCACAACATACCCACGAAATATTATTGTTCTTCCTGGAATGTTCCACAGCATGACATTTAACAGCTCTACTGTTCATTTATTAAATTACACATGGTTGTATAGCTCAAAAATACCTAGAAAAACATGTGTTGTAACTGTGAGTGGGGTGGCCTCTTCACAGATCTGATCTGTCTGGTTTGGTCTCCATGATGATAGAAAGGTCAAATGCCACACTGAAACATTCCAGACAAAGCATCTCCATGGAGAAAAGCATTTGAAGGACCCTCCACCAGAAAAGTTACACAATGCAGCTTTAAAAACAGATAAGTGTAAAATGGGAAATGGAGGAAGTAGGTATGCAAATTAACTTCCTATAGATCTCACAGTATTTATCAAGAACACCATTTCAGACAACAAAATGAAGAAGGGTGGCCTCATTCCAAAGTGTTATAGAACAACACCCATGGCTCTCCCTTCCTTCTAGATTAGCAGTTGATAAAATGTATTATAATTAGCAACTAACAGTCCACACAAACAGTCCACATGGCCCATATTACGCTATTTTTCGATTTGTTATATCTGTGGTATTTCTGTCTTCATTGAAACCAAACAAAACCAGACCAAGTTACAGGACAGATCTGTGGAGATGCGACCCCGGTCTCAGTCAGAATGTCTGTATTTCTCGGTATTTTTGAGCTACAAAACCACCTGTAATTGAATGTACGTGTAAGGTAGAGCTGTTTAATGTCATACTGTGGAACATTCCAGGCAAAGCAATGAGGATTCAAATCTTATGCTTTCTTTTTGTTTTTTGTTTGTGAAACCTAATTAATCTGATAATCTTACTACACACCACTCTATACTACCCACTTGTGGTGCAGTTACAGTAAAAGTACATTTAAGAAGCTGCAGATCGCATATAATGATGCACTTCGTTTTTTACTGAAAGCCCCTCGATGGACAAGTGCCATTTTGCTGTTAGTGAAAAATAATGTCCCTACGTCGAATGCTGTAATCAGGAATTTTGTAAATACGTTTATGAAGCGCCATGAGGACTCACAGAATGAAATGATAAATGTTTTAATAATGCCTGAGCAGAGCAGTGTCAGGTGCACCCTTGAACTCCGGAGGCACTGGAGGAACTGCATATATGGATTATGTAATATCATTGCTGTTGTGTTTGTCTTCTGTTTGTTTTTTAAATGTTTTATGTGAACCCACCGGAATCTATAATAAAGCTTGATTTATTGATTCATGAGTTATCCTGGTGCCTTACCTAGTTTGCGGCAGAGGAAGCGGACTCGGTAGTCATGGCACATCCCGTGAGGCTGGTCCTTGTTGAGACACACAAAACCGTACTCTTTGTCCTTCTTGTGGATAATGTCTCCACTCTGCTCAGCCGGGACTCCTTCTATGGTCTCAGCCTACAACGAAAAAGAAGAAGAAATAAGCCACAAGCTCAACTCTAAACAGTGTTACAGGACTACATTTATACCATACTCCATTAGGGATGTAATGATATCCAAATGTCTCGATACGATATTTTTACGATATGCATTTCACGGTATTGTGTAAATTGTGACAGCTTTTCTGTCATAATAAATAAAAGTACTTAATAAGTAATTTTTCCATGCAGTATCTACTAAAACAGAGCAAAGGATCATGGTCTATGTAGTTCTCTTAAATGAAGTAGCACAGAGACTTGTAATTTGATATACTGTGATGGCCCATGATATCAGAGATAGAGATAATACTCCCTACAACTGTACAACAACTCACCCTTATGTAAAAGATAATACTACCTACAACTGTACAACAACCCCCTCTTATATAACAGATAATACTCCCTACAACTGTACAACTCACACATGTGTAACAAATAATACTCCTAACAATTGTACAACAACTCACCCTTGCATAATAGATAATACTCCCTACAACTATATAACAACTCACCCTTATGTAAGAGATAATACTTCCTACAACTGTACAACAACTCACCCTTATGTAAGAGATAATACTCCCTACAACTGTACAACAACCCTCTCTTATATAACAGATGATACTCCCTACAACTGTACAACTCACTCATATGTAACAAATAATACTTCTGACAATTGTACAATAGCTCACCCTTATGTAATAGATAATACTCCCTCAAACTATATAACAACACACCCTTATTGTAACAGATAATGCTCCCAACAAATGTACAACAACTCATTGTTATGTAACAAATAATACTCCCTACAACTGTACAAGAACTCACCCTTATGCAACATATAATACTCCCTACAAATGTACAACAACTCACCCTTATGTAACAGATAATACACCCTACAATGTACAGCAACTCAACCTTATATAACAGATAACCCTAAGTCCTGCCAATCATCATATCCTTGTTGCACTGTTTTTCCTTATAACCTCTTGTATATAGCAGAGATATATTTGTATTACTATATTTCAGTATTTTATTTTTACTTGTATGTGTACATTTACATAAATATGTCTTATTTGACGGCAGTCACTTGCTATTTTTGCTCTTTGTTGTTATAATATATTGGGATGTGTGAGCTACTGTGTCCAAATAATTTCCCTTGTGGATCAATAAAGTTTGTCTAAGTCTAAGTGTTCTGTGTCAGTTTTTCATCTTTATGTAGGTCAGAGGGCCCAAACGTTTTTTTTCAGTGAGGGCCAGATATAGAAATATATTTGAAGCAGGGCGCCACAGACCGGAGGTAAATACAGTAAGTCATTCACATTGGTGCATTTTATAGAGTTTTGACTGAGCCATCGTACCGTTAATAAGACTTGAATTAATTTTAGATATGTATCGCAATAATATGTGATGGGATGCAAATACTTAAAGGTCCTATATTACACAAAATTGACTCTTGTGAGCTTTAAGCCATGTTAGAATGCCATTACCTCAACAAAAACATACCTGGAGCTGTGTTTTATTTCATTCACACATGTCTGAGTAATCCTACGTTATTAGTCTGTCTACATCACCAGATGTTAAAACACTCTGTTCCACCTTGTGATGTCATGGAGCTGTAGTTTTTGGCAATTCTAGTAGATACTGTAATTCCAGGGCTGAAATGATCCAAATGATTCTAGTGAAGATATAGGGAGTTTTAAAACATGGTAAAGTACTTCCTGTATTATCATTATGAAATCAGGTTGAACAGAATGTTTTCTGTTTGAGAGAAGAACCTTGTTTAAATTGAATTGTGTAACTTTTTTGGTGGAGAATCCATCAAATGCTTTTCTCCATGGAGATATTATGGAGATTTTATTGCTTTGTCTGGAATGTTTTCACAGTTCAAACCAGACCAAAGTGCAGGTCAGATCTGTGGAGAGGTTTTTCTAGGTATGATTGAGCTATAAAACCATGTATAATTGAATAAATGTAAGGTAGAGTTGTTAAATGTTATATTGTGGAACATTCCAGGCAAAGCAATGACATATTCATAGAAACAAGCAAGTGACAGACACCCAACCAAAAAGTTATACAGTGCAACTTTTAATAAGTCCTAAGCTAGAAGCCAAATAATTCTAGTGAAGGTGTATGGAGTTTAAAAATGTAAAAGAGCATTTCCTGTATTATTGCATGGCATCACAAGGTAATAGTGTGTTTTCTGTTTGAGAGAAGAACCCAGTTTAAATATTCAGGGTTTGTGTGTTGAAGATTTGTGAATTAACCAAAACACAACTTCAGGTATGTTTGTGATGAGGAAACATTATAACAAAAAATAGTGTAAAATGAGCCATTTAAATCTGCAGTTAAAAATACTGATAGGTAAAATAATGATTGAAAAAGTACACAATTCACAATTAACTGTTGATCCCACCCACTCCTTTACACATTAATGTTGAACTGCGATGAAGTCATAATTTGATGGTTCCTCACAGACAGCTGTTTCCACCTGGCTCTCACCTAACAACATCTCTGATTGGATAAAATGGTCTCTCCCTGTCACTTGCTTCCACATGGTTCTCGTCCAACTAAATGCTTTTTAAATTGCATCTCTCTCTTTTCACAAATTGCTGTCAATGCAATGGGCTATACTGCATGTAGTAAAAGGCATTTTCCTGAACTAGAAGAAATAGAAGTCAGGCACAGGCTCGTTAACAGGAGAGATAAAATAAAAAAAGTTAATGGTGCACCAGTCAAGGGATTCACACAAATATAGTAATAAAAGATGGCCATAAAAGAATTGTCTTAAAATCACACAGGGGAATGATGTCCAATCAATAAAAACAATCAAAGCATATGAAATAAAAATGATAAAATGACAAAGTGACAAAGGACTCTAAAATGTGTTCCATGAGAGATGTAGGATACAAAAGACACACAGAGACACACACATATATAGGATTTTCATGCTTTTTTTTTTTTTTTTTTGCATTGACATTACATTGACTTAGGGTGCACTCACACTAGGACTTTTGAACTGTGTCCAAGCATGGATAGCCCCTAAAGTGCGGTACGTTTGTCCAGTGAGCAAAATCGGACCGTGCTTTTGGAGGAGGTGGACCAAAGCACGGCACGGTTGCTCATGTATATGCACATGCACAACTTTACTATACAAGCCCTGTTAGGTACAGTGATGTTACAAAGTAATAACATCTCCAGGAAAAAAAAGCATTTGACGGATCCTCCACCTGAACTTACACAATGCACTTTTAACCAGTCACTTGCTAAACTGCTAATACATAAAATATTTAGATTAGATAGAGAGACCTTTCATTATTTTGAAATGCTACATTCACTGAAAACAATGTATTGCTCAAAGTCCTTCCACTCTTTGCTCTCTGCTCTAAATCACCCCCCCTTCAGAGCACTATCAATACACTATAAAAGGGCATCCTGGTAATGAAACTACTGTACATTGCATTAGGCTTGTCAAGTTGATGCATATAGATTTGTATCATGTTTTTGTATATTTATGGAGAATTATCGTGTGGGAGGATGGGTGACGAAGGCTTGTGGGCGGAGCATTGGACAGAACTTTACTGGTAATCATAAATAGGGTTCGAATATGGCTTGGGAGAGATCGGTAAATTACTGAAAAGGCATGAATGACATATAAACCCTTTTCAGGCATGCTAGAAAGCTAAAAAAAAAAGAAAAAGCATAATACCCCCTCTTTAACATAACCCTATACTTAAATGTAACCTATTTTAACGCATATCAGAGCTTTAAATCATGCTGCTGATCTAAAAAATAAAGCATTACCGGGACCAGAAGGGAGGCCGGTCCCCACGATGCGAGTGTGCGTACAGATTTCAGTCCCCACAGTGACAAAGCCCCACCCACACATTGTTTTCTGCATCTTCACAGTAAGCACTACAGATGTCACAGAACATCAGAGAGAGGGCTGGCTGCGCTCGCTAAAATGCTTCTTATTTTGTGAGCTGTCTGCAGAGTGTTCCGTCATAGCGCATTCTCCTCCCTGACACGCTCTCCACAATAACAACCACACAAGTGACCCGTGCAGACAGCCCCAGTCTACTAAGGTAAGGGTTCTCAGTCTGTGGAGCACGACATGGATTTCGCTCAAGGAGTTAAGGTTAAAGGTACATTGTAAACATAGAAGTGTTATTTCAAATCTTCCACGATATGGCATTTAACTTAAAGGGCCTGTTAGATATTATGTGTCTGATTATGGCTGTATAAGGGCGGTTTAGGACGACTGTATGATTGCTTATTGTTTTGCATGCAGTCTGAAAGGAATAGAACTAGACCGTCTGGTAAACAGCTCAGAGATACAAAAATTGAGTCAGAGAAAGGCCGATGTGATGCTACTTCCACTTTGTGCGACATGTTTTCTCTAGTGTGTGTGACAGAAAGTGGGGACCGGGTGAAAGGTGAAAAATTGATGTGAGGAGAAAGCAAGTCGGGGTCTTGGAAATCCACAACGAGGAACTGTGTGGACCAATAAGAAGAAGACAACGCCTGGATGCAACCAAAAAATGCTAGAAACCATAATGTTAGACTACGAAGACAAAGACTATATAAAGGGGTTCAGGGTTAGAAAGGGGAGACGAGAGCGTCCACCTGTCCAGATCCCAGGTTTTGTTTTAGATTAGGGACAGGTAGTTGAACCCTACTGCTTTGTTATTCAATATTTTGAAGTGTAAATAAATAAACAGAAGTGAACTCAGGTCTTCTTATCTGTGAATCCCTCTCCATCAACGAGTACTCGGAGGAAAGAGTTTAAAGGCCATATTTCCTAGTGAGCCACAGTGTTGGACACGTGTGGAGACACTTTTAAAAATATTCCATCCAGTCCTTGTATTTGCAGAGTTCGCTGGTGCTAGGCTAGTGCATGTCAATGGGCATAGTTATCCTGCCACTAAAAACAGTCTTACTCCACAAAGCACCCAAAGTAAATCTGTTATTACACCAGACTGTCGATGTAAATGTCTGTGTTGAAAGAATAATGTTTGAAATAAAACTAACCTTGCATTGCATGAATCGTTGCATGTTGAGGGACTATTTTCTCATATATCAGTCCGCTGCTGCCAAGCTTTCTATCAGGAAGTACAGCTCACTACTGCTGCTCAGACATAAATCCTTCAAATGCAAAGTTGGTTTTAGTACTAAAATTATTCTATCAACACAGACATTTACATGGACAGTCTGGTGTCATAATAGATTTACTTCGGATGCTGTGTGGTAATACAGGAAGTGCTCCAGTGTGTTTTTAAATTCCATATACCTTCACTAGAATCATTTGGAGGATTTCTGCTCTGGAATTGCCGATCTCTGCTGAACTAAAGTTAAAATGTAGCTGTTAACTTGAAAACTACACTACCCCTACATGACATCACAAGGTGGAACAGATCATTTTGAGCTTTTGAGATGCAGACAGATTAATAAACTAAACTTTGGGTATGTTTTTGCAGTGGTAACAACTTTATAACATGGCTTAAAGCCCACAAGAATTCATTTGGTGTAATATGGGACCTTTAATTAGTCTCCAAGGTGACAAAGCACCACGCAAAGTTACATCTGATGAGCCGTTTTACAGCAAGGATGCATTTTATTTTAGAGAACACCAGATACATTTAATGCCACACTGTGAAACCTGCCAGACAAAGCAAGCAGGTGGTATACCGCCCACCAGAGAAGTTACATAGTGCACCTTTAAAATCATATGCTGCTCTGTTTTGTTGTCTTCATACATAATGACTACATAGTGCCACATGCTGGGTGAGCAAATTGCCTTTTGCTTTAATACATTTCGATTTTAATACAGCCAATATGAAAAAAATAGTGTTATTGAACACTATTTGCGCACTTCAAATAGGAATCTGTTAAAACCCGGCAGCAATAATAGTACTAAAGCTTGTCAGGGCATATTAGCTATCCAATATCCCATAATATCACAGTATATTGTTACATCCCGCAGGTAGTGAATGAAACTCTGTAAAGACATGCAACCCTAATTTATTATGTTTTTGCCACCCACCAGTTGAGAAGTCCTGTACCCATTTTTGTTCCATGTATTTGACCAAAATATTTCCTACCAGAGTACAGATATATTGTATAAGCAGATCTTGGGGTCAAAATAAGTCAACTGCATCTAATAAGAAGGCATTTTATTGTTCAATAATCAGGAACTGTATGTTTTCCTGCTTAGTGTTGTTGGCTTTACTGTCAGGGCAAAATGCCGCCTTTGTCTTGAGAGAGAAAAGTGCTTATAAACTCATTGCTGTGAATATTTAGGATGCTCGGACTGCACAAGGTAAATGGGGAATAATTTTGGACCTCTGCAAACAGTTTAAAATGAACAAATTCATTTTTTTCACATTTTAACACAGTAAAATTTAGGTACAGGTCTCTGCTTAGATGGCTAATATTCACTGATGTTGAGTTGTCATAGGAGCAGTGGGAGGGTAGTGGTACCTGCATGTCCAGGGGGTTGGGGCAGAGGTGTTGGGGGAATGCCTTAATGAGGTCAGACAGTTTCTCCCAGTCTCCAGAGCCGCGCTGGTCATCTCTGCTCAGCCACTCGGTCCACTCGGCCTCTGCACACAGTCACAGATACACAAAAGAAGAATGTAACCGTGAATTTGATTTATATAGTGTCTTTCAAGAGACCCAAAGTGCTTCACAGTGCATTATTCATCCACTGTGTTTATAAGCTGCAACTGTAACTGAAAATGTCATTCTTTGCATTTGATCCATCTTTCTACCAATGTCGCTGGTGCAACATGTCAGGAGCATGAGCTACTGCTGTATGATCTTGATCTGGGTTGATGAAAACCCACCCACACATGGGGACAACATGCAAACTCAGCACAGAAAGGCACGGACAACCTCGGACTTCTTATGCTTCACCGACAAAAGGAGCGAGGCTACACAAACCACATTCAGATGGAGCTCGACTGCCCAACCACCAGGTATGAAAGTACATTTCTTATACATTTTTTCCATAGTCATTCAGAAAAAAAAAAGAAAATAAATGTATTATATTAAAAGTTTGAAAGCTTGCTCCAGGTTAATCACCTACATGGTAACCAATGACCACAATAAATTGTATTTATATATTTATAATATTTATATTTTTATATTTAATATTTATAAATCTTTAACATTAAAAGAAACATTAAAAAAATGCTTAGTTATTAAAACATTTCACCAGATCTTGCAATTTAAATGTGCTTGAAACAACCACATTATGGATATCAGTTACCATATTGATGGTTAGACTACGCAATGCCTTTGAGTGCTTAATGTTTCAAATTTTTGAAAAGTGTATGGGAAAAATGAATATCTTGCCCAAGGACACAATGAGTATGAAATTAAGCTACTGCCATCTCACTGTGGCATCTGGAATTTAGGGCTGTCTCTTATCACGGTACTAACCAGGCCCAAACCTGCCAAGCTTGAGATTGGCCATAGGACATTCTGACCACAAATGTGTTGCTTACCTATCTCTACACACATCTAGTGTTACCTCACCTACCTCTAATCCTCTCATTGAGCCCATTCATCAATCAGACACCCGTACTGGGGTGTGGTAGATTTGTTCAGAATGTTAATAGCTTGGCACAAAAGAATAGTGATGATTAATCTTTTAATGATGTTTTGGAACAGACAAAATTAGCACATGTTCTAAACTAGTGTTAAAAGAATCCTAGCAAACAACATGAGTTTGTCCTAATGCTATCACAAACAAGCCAGAAGTGAAATCTTTATTTCATGATTTTGTCTTTAAAGATGCACTATGTAACTTCTCTACTGGCTCCCTGTCTCCACTGAGAATGTTCCACAGTATGGCACATAGACTGTATATTTAATTGGACACAGTTAACGTGCTAGCCGCCGAATTCCAAATAGGAAGGTTGCATGGGGGCTCTTTAGGCTCCTACTGACCCTGGCTCCCACTGACTTACATCGGAATACTGTGTCTTCTCTCTAACCTCTGCAGTAAGCCTCATTATTTTGGTCTTAAAATGTCTGTATTAACCCACTCTACATGACCCTGGTGTTTTTATTTCACTATTTTGTCACTTAAAAAAGTCCTATTTATTTTTTTATATTTTGAAAATAAAAATATGTTTTAACATGACTCAGCAACACATTTAAAAATAGAAGTAGGTCCTCATTGGTGTTTTTGTTCAATATGGCAATAAGGACGTCAAGGTGAAATTTCAATTATCTATGACAAAATCAATTTTTTTAAAAACTCCATTCAAAAAGGGGGCGCTGTGGAACAATTTTATATCCCTGCTATGTAAATTGTATATCATTGCATTCAGGTCATCATTATGCTCAAAAGGTATAATAATACAGAGCAATAGGACACTGCATTTCAGTGTGATTTAATACTTCTAAAAATAGCTTTTTCTTTGCAGATCGGCCACATCCACATTCTATGACTTATCAAAAAAATACTTTTTATAGACATAAACACACATGGGTCTGTGATTACAGACCAAATAGCAGGCTTTTTGAATAAAAATCCATTGTGAACAAAAATGAATATAGAGGAAACATTTTGCAAAAACTGTGTTCTGTCCACAAAGGCTGACTTCCTGTAGAGTTTAGGGTGGGGATATATTATTTTTTCATGTCTTGACATGTGCTATGTCTACCCCAAAGTCAAGTCCTACAGGAGAAGGACCTAAGCTGGTCTACTGCAGTGAGATTGGGTGAACATTTACCTTGCACCCACTGGCTGGAAGCAGTGACGTTAAAGGACAGCCCCTCTTCTTTAGAGTGGAACGTGCGGGAGACATGGGCCTCGCTGGAAGACTTGGTCCCTGAAACAACATAGGGACATGTTAATTAAGAGGGAAAAAGAGAAAAAGGGAGAGAGGTTAGAAGAGGAGTACCCTGATAAACTGAGTGGTCTTCCACCGCTGATGAGGGCTCTCCCTTCACTGCAATCAGGGTCCAGGGGTGTCTGATAAAAGAGACTGCACTTAGTGATGTTTAGGATTTTTTGACCTCACCTACAATGCTTTTAATTTGAAAATAGAATACAATAAAATATATGTGGTTTTAAGCAGAACAGCAGACCCGACTTTTTTTTTTTTTTTACCTACAATTCCAAATTCACTCAACTCACAAACAAACCAAAACAAACATGGCAACACCAACAGATGTACTTCAGGCTATTTTAGTGACAAAACAGACTATTTTGTTTGTGAAAAACAAGCAGAAAGTAAGAGCTTTGTGCATTTGTGGACAGGGAAAGTGAGTGTGCTTTTCTCTCAACTGGATGTAACAGAAGTTTGGATGTGAGCCAGTTAAAGGTGCACTGAGTAGCTTTTGAAGGGTCCATCACCTGCTTGTCTGGAGATGTTTGTACTTTGCATGAAGAGTTTGATTGCATGGCTTTCTACATTCATGGAAGCAAGAAGAAGGGGGACACCATCAGGCAAAGTTACAGGTCAGATCTGTGGAGAGGCACCACCGCTCACAGGGACATGCAAGTGTTCAAGGCATTTTTGACAAAACACCAGTAATCAAATAAAGGCAAAACATTCCAGGCAATGCAATAACATCCTCATGGAGACAAGCCAGTTGCTGACCATGCACCAGAAAAGTTACAGAGTTCAAAGTTTTCTGATGTCTATTGGATTCATTGCATAAACCCCTGATATCAACACTGGGCTCATTTGCTCTAATTGGCATTGTGGTTTTACAGTTGTGCAGATGCATGTCCTCTTTGCACTCTGAGAGGAACTGTAAGGACTGTCAACTATGTTTGTGAGAGTGAATATGTCAGCACAGATAGAACATGCAACCACAAGACCTCATAAATCTATGCTTATTAAAAGTGTCTGTAGCTTACGAGCCACAAATGAGCCTCTGATGACACCAGAGCAGAGAGGAGGCGACGCGAGGAATGTCAGAGCCGTCCCAGAGTGTTCACACATAGCTCCACTGATCTGCTCAAGAACAGACTCTCATCCTCTCACCACCAGGCCTTTACCTTCTCACCACCAGGTTCTTATCCTCTCAACAAACTCACCCACACCTTCAGTGAGGGGTTACCAGATGCTCAACCCCCACCAGAATGGCACCCTTCCACTATGTCCTCTCATCTAAACAGATCCTCAACCTCTCACCTTAGCCTACACCTTCACACCAGGTTCTCACCCTTCCATGAGACCCTCACCCTCTCGTAAAGCTCTCACCTAACACCTAACACCAGGGTCTGTTATCTTATCAGGGATCACTACTTCTGCACCCTTCCACCAAGACTTTGACTGTCTCAAGACACACTCACTCGCTCACCAAACTCTCACCCTCTCATTAGGACCTCACCCTGTCACCGGAACCTCGCCCTCTCACCAGAACGTCACCCTCTTAAGACATGCTCACTCTCTATCCAGAAGTTCACCATCTCACCAGAACCTAAGCTTCTCACCAGACACTCACCCTCTAACCAGGACCTCTCACAAACACCAACACACCATCTCTCTAGCCTCTCAACTGCCTGTAAAGCTGTTCACCCTCACCCTCTCCTTCACCCTTCACCTCACCAGAACCTCACACTCTCACCAGCCACCACTTCTCACAAGAACCTCACTTTCACGAACCCTCACCCTCTCACCCAGAAACCCCATGGCATCTTCTCACCAGAACCTCACTCTTTCATCAGACCCTCACCCTCTCACCAGAACATCACCCTCTCATGGCATCCTCTCACCAGATCCTCACTCTTTCATCAGACTCTCACCCCACTCACAGAACCTTCACTCTCTCATCACCCTCACCCTCTCACAGAACCTCACATCTCTTCATGGGCACCCTCTCACCAGACTCTCACTCTCATCAGACCCTCACAGACCTCATAACCCCTCACATCTTCATCTCTCATGGCATCCTCTCACCAGAACCTCACTCTTTCATCAGACCCTCACCCTCTCACCAGAACCTCACTCTTTCATCAGACCCTGACACTCTCACCAGAACGTCACCCTTTCATGGCACCCTCTCATCAGAACCTCACCCCCCTCACCAGAACCTCACTCTCTTATGTCCCCCTCTCACCAGAACCTCACCCTCTCATCGCACCCTCTCACCAGAAACTCTCTCTTTCATCGGACTCTCACTCTCTGACCAGAACCTCACCCTCTCATGGCATCCTCTCACCAGAACCTCACTCTCTCAACCAGAACCTCTTCTCTTCACCCCTCATCCCCTTCATCAGACCCTCACCCTCTCATGGCCACCTCCACCTCTCTTCACCCATCACCTCTCACCCTCTCACCAGAATCTCACCCTCCTGACTCACCAGACCCTCTCATTACCCTCACCCTCTCACCAGAACCTCACACTCTCATGGCACCCTCACCTTCTAATCACCCTCTCACCAAAATCTCACCCACTGAGGACCACACCCTCTCACTGGCCCCAGGACGTGCAATTAATCAAATTTGAATCAAGATCAAGATTCAGTCATTTCTACTTTACTTTTAATCAAGAGGTCTACAGCCAGCTCTCAATAAAAGCATGTGGTTTGGAGCAGAATTCAACCTCTGGAAGGCAGTTTTATTGTGGGTCAAAAGGCAATCATGAAAAATCTGTATGATTTATGGAATTGATATTGGAAGACATTTGCATGGTCCAGACTAAAACCAATTTGAAAATCGACTGATAAATATGAGGAGGAAAAAAAAAATGCAATTAAAAGTCTTGAGTCTTGCACCAGCACAGATATATTGTATAAGCAGCTCTTGAGGTCAAAATAAGTCTACTGTGTGTTGTCTGCATCATTAGAAAGTTGAAAGTAGAAATAAGGAGTAGAAAGTAGTAGCTAGAAAGTACGAATTGTGCACATTAGAGACCAAAGACTCTGCTCTGGTCTTTGGTCTCTAAGTGAGTAATAACTTTGGACCACTGCAAACGATTTAAAGAGTTTTATTAAGACAGATAAAATGCCTTTCTTTTTTCTTTTCTTTTTTCTCATATCGCCCACGTCTACCAGACCTCACCACATCAATCTGAAGATAGATTGTTTTTCCACCTTCAGATTTATGATTTATAATGAACAAAATTGTAAAATCATGATCTACGTATGCTAAAAATGCAGTGTCTTCTTTAAAGGTGCTCTATGTAACAGTATGACATTAAACAGATCTACCTTACATTTATTCAATTACAGGTGGTTTTATAGCTCAAACATTCCTAGAAAAACAAGGATTCTGTCTGAGCGGGGGTCACCTCTCTACAGATCTGACCTGTAACTTGGTCTGGTTTGGTCTCCATGACAATAGAATGGTTTAATGCCACGCTGTGAAACATTTCAGACAAAGAAATAACGTCTCGATGGAGAAAAGCATTTTATGGATGTTCCACCAGAAAAGTTACATCACCTGGCCCCTCACTCTTAGCCAAGCTGGTGCCACCTAGTGCCTCCGCTCAACTGCATTCCTCTCCAGCGACTAGGTCAGGAATCAAAATACACTAGACACTTCGGAAAAAAACCCGGAAGTGTGAGTTTGGGCACCAGCCAATCAGGAACAAAGAGAATGTTCTGTGAATTTTATCAAGGGGAAAGACGTTAGCTGCGCATTACATAAGTCACAACCAAATAGCAGCGATTGGTTAAATAAAAAAAGGACCTGCCTACCGTTGAGCGAATAAATTCTAATACTATAAGGTCAGACTGTTTCTACGAAGTGAAACCAACTAATGAATAAGGCTACCTCACCCTTTCACCCATAGACCGTATATATATGAGTGGACATAAAGCCCTAACTGCCGCGTGCCAAATAGGAAGTTCGCCAGGAGCCTCTTCCGGCTCCTTCTAACTCTGGATCTTGTTCTTAGGATCTTGTTGCCTCTCTCTCTGTAGTGAGCCTCGTAATTTTGGTCTTAAAATGTTCCTGTTAACCTACTCTACATGATCCTGATTTTTTTCGCTATTTTGTCCATCAAAAAAATCCTATTCATAACATAGAGCCTGGCTCCAGATTCACTCCTGTAACTGTGAGCATCACAATCCTCATTTGAGTGGCGCTGAACACTATGGGTGATGTCACACTCGCTTAGTCCTCTATTTTTATACAGTCTATGCTTTCACCACAGTTAAATTGTGTTGTGTTAAATAGGGTTTAGTGTTATGAGAATGCTACCTGAAGCCGAGCGTTCGGATGTGACGGCTGCCCAGCTGGGACACGCGGCTCTTGGCCATGTCCTCCAGGTTGTTAGAGGCTTCATCATTGACCACCATGACCACGATGATCCCTGGGTCCACCGCGTCCAGGAAGTGAGCCAGACGCACGCTCTCGTTCTGACTGCGGTACGTGTCAAACCTGCAAACAAATTTATCAAAGAGTTCTAATGACAATGATAATGTTTCACTCAGTATTTATTTGCTTTGGGCTGTTTGGGACATTCTTGGCTTTTTTCACTATGTTGTCTTTTCTCAAAGCAAAATTATCTGCCAAGAATTAGATTGATTTCCTTATTTCGAAATACAAAAGTAACAAAATGCTTGTTTGTCTTTATATTTTCAAATTGAATGTGATTGAACATTTGAAAATTTGAAATATTGAAAAGGACATTTTCTCATTTTTCTTTCTCTCACTGAAGTGAAAATAATTGCCTGCTCACACTGTTCCCATGCTGTGCTAAACAATATTTTCAAGTTTTTCTTCCAAAGGTAGTTTTTTATATGTAATTTCTATCCAAGTTTCAGTTTACTTTAGACTACATAAGATCGACAAAAATCCCCTCAGTAAAAGCATTTGGAATCTAATATGTCAACACACTGAGCAAAGATTTACGGGTATTCTTAAACATAGCCTATCTGTGACCCCAGATATGACGTAAAAATGTTCAGATCAAATATTGCTTTTACCGATAACAATTGTGATTTATTCTTGATTACAAAAACACTGGACCTGATGGCCGAGTTATGTATGTTTTCATTTTGTGTTTTTTGTTCTCAAGATGATTACTCAGTCAGAAAGCAGAGGGAACCTCCCACGAGCCTCACATTTGGGTTGCCAGTTCCAATGCTGATATTAAGTTGTCTCTATATGTAGGTTAAGGGACAGACACACAGGTTCAGCTGTGATTGCAGGACCTTATTTAAACCCACTAGAGCGCTGGTTACACAACCTCCCTTTAAATGGTGTAAACATTGTGATATGTTTCCCCAGTGCAGTTTATAGTTTATAACCTCTTAAAATGTAATGTAAAGAATCCTATTGGCTTGTAGTGGTTCACCTTAAAGCAGGGCAGACAGAACTCAGACACATTCCTGTGTGTTTAGTCTGTTCACTGTAAAGACTGCACAAACACACACTTGAGGTACTCAAGTGTTCTGCCCCAAAATCTCATGGAAACAAACTATAGGTTCACACTGGTTCAGTCTCATGTTTTTACACCTGAGGCCCTTCCTGTGGCAACCGTACTGTCCATAGACTAAGCAATAAACATGTTTTGGCCAGTGACACCCCAACCTGGGGTCAAACTAGTTGTTGTGCATGGAGAAGTTTGTGATTTGATCCCAGCTCCTCAGTGCTGTTTTTGTGTCTTTGGGCAAGACACACACCTACAATGCTAAGCATAAATATGAATGCAGTGATCCAATTACTCAGCCATGTATCTTGTCAGTCAGCCCCAGGGCAGCTGTGGCTACAGAAATAGTTTACATGTAAGTGTGGAGAGTGAGTGAGAGTCAATTTTGATGTACAATTGTGCATGATTGTACCCTCTGGTCATAAGACCTCAAAAATGTTGCCCTATCCCATTAAAAACACGAAAATGTAATTAAAAAAAATAGCTATAAATGTTTTAATCTCATTATAATTTCAGATCCTGATTAAACATTCACATTATATACAAAACTAAGACATACAGCACAGTACAGAACTCTTAGACTGACAGCTGGTCATGTTTAACACCAGAACAGCAAATGTTTTTTCACCAGAACTATGCTTCCACCTTAACAGAGTTGAATAATTATGGCAAATATGTAATATTATTATAGGTTTGGCTGCAACTTACACGCATACTACACCCTGTTATTAACATTTAGGGCATCCCGGCGGCTTTGTGTATTTTTGGATTGAAGCACGCAGTTTGTTCAGCTCTGTTCTGGTAACATGATACACTGCACTTGTTTGGGCACATGTGCAGGTTAAAACGTGAGTGACCTGAGCACCTGCGCACCTGTAATTTGTGTGATCATTGATTCACTGCGGACATTTGAAGGGATGTAAAATTGATTTTCATTAGCTTTAAACAGGTTATAACAATGTTCCCTCGATTTTGGCTTGCTCAGAGTTGTATTTTGTTTGATTCATGCATGTTTGAGTAACCTCGCCTTGTCCAGCATTTGAAACTTTAGGGCTCACAAAATTCCTGTTTTTCTTCTACCTCCAAACTCCACCCATATGTCTGTGATACTTGTGATTATTCAAGAAAAAATCTCTAAGTCATACACGCAGGATGTAGAGATGTAGCAAATTTTCAACTATAAAAATACATAAATGAAAATCGAGTGCTACTACAGTAAAGCTACTACAGTGAGTGTCATCAGTTCTGCAGTTTTGAGCAGGAAGTCAATGAACCTTTTTTATGGTAAAATGGTTAATGGTCACATATGCAGTGCATTTCCAATTTCAAGGCACTCAAAGCGCTCTACATCAATGAACCACTCTTACGCACATGCACACACCAATGTATGCTGATACTGTAGTCCACGTCAGTTAAGTGTCTTGCCCAAGGACACAAAGACAGCATTCATCTGTGGGAGCTGGAATCGCACTGCCTACTTGTGGGTAAGTGGATCTGACCGACATGATGTTTATATCGAGAGCCGGATTCAAACGGCGACCTTCAGATCAGTGGAAGAACGCTCTACTGTCGTGAACTATCTCTAAGTGTATTAGATCGTTAGATTGTAATTTATAATGAACAAATGGTAAAGTCATTATCTACATATATTAAAAACACAGAGTCTTTAAAAAAAAAAAAAAAGAACCAAAACTGGGTATTTATTTTAAAGTGAAACTAAACAATAAATCCACTTTTGTCTTTGTATATGGTATATTAATAGCATTATCTACTGTCATTTTTTGGTGACTTTAATGGATTAGTAGGTAAATTTGTAGCCAGGTTGGTGCCACCTAGTGCCTCCACTCAATTTAATTTCTCTCCAGCGACGAGAATCGGAATACAATAGACAGTCTGTAAGAACCCCCGAAAGTGTGAGTTTGGGCACCAGCTAATCAGCGAAGAGCCATACATTCTGTGTTGGCAACGATTTAAAGCTGGAACAAAGAGACTGTTTGGTGAATTTTATCAAGTGGAAAGACGTTGTTGCCCTTCTTTCTATGGGATGTGGGAAAAGCTTAATATACCAGTTAACCCTTTTAGCGGCGCATTAGATATGTCACGACCAAATAGCAACGATTGGTTAAATGAAAAAAAGTACCCGCCTAACATCCAGCGAACGAATCCTAATGCTGCAAAGTTAGACGGTTTCTATGAAGTGAAACTGGCTGATGAATCAGGTTAGTAAATTTGCAGCTATCAGGTCAAAAAATCTAGGTTTGTGCTCTCCAATATCCAGTACTTTGGTGACATCACAAAAGACTACCCTGAAAAGTGTAGATACCTGTTAAACCAATCACACTGGGCCTTATACCCCTAGACTTCGCTGCTCCTCCTCGCTCACTGCCTTCTTTAGTCCACAGGTACTGCAGCTCTATTTGAAATGTGGTTGTGGGCGGAGTTTAGGGGTTTAGTCCCATTTTAACTTAGCTTTTAAGTCATTACCAAACATCTATAGAGTCCTAATGCTGGTTTCTACTCCAGACCACCATAGTACATGTGAGAGGGCACTGTCACTCACTCACCTGTCATCCTTCAGCATCTGTCCTGTCCGGGGGCTCAGCAGGTGCACGATGATGCCGCGGTGACCCCAGCCCCTCTGGAACTGGTAGCTCTGGTTACTGCTACTTTGGCCAGGGAGCAGGGTCTTGCTCAGGAACGTCCAGGAGAGTTTGGGGGCCCCATGGATCTCCAGAGTTGCCCCTGTCCCCACGCCGATGTACTTATGACCAAAGTAGCTGTGCGGCACTTCTCTGTCGTCAGGTCTGTGAAGCAGGGAATCAAACTACATGAATAAATGGTTTTAAAAGTGGGAATAAGATTTAAAATACCTGCTCAAAATCAAACTGATTAACTTGTCACATAGTATAGCCAAATTAAAATATGTTAAAGGTCCTATATTACACAAAATGGACTCTTGTGAGATTTAAGCCATGTTAGAATGCTGTTACCTCCTCAAAAACATACTTGGAGTTGTGTTTTATTTCATTCACACATGTCTGAGTAATACCTGTGATGTCATGAAGTTGTAGTTTTCAAGTTAATGATTCTAGTGAAGGTGTATAGAGTTTAAAAACACAGTGGAGCACTACATGACACTCTGTTCCACAAGGTTTTCTGCTTGAGCTTAAATGAAAGGTTAAATGTTTGTGATGAGGAAACAACATTATAACATTAGATCAGAAATAGCGTAATATGGGCCCTTTAAGAAATTCCAGGGATTGTTTGCTTTCAGTTTAGCCATCAGGTGGTTTGGTACCAAGCACTGATATATCAATATTGACTATGGTACAGAAAAATTATGATTTTCATGCAAAAATTGCTGATACTTAAAACTGAATTTAAATAAATTTTTGAAATGCACTGTGTATACTCTGGTATGTCTGAATTATACAAAGGTAAACAGTGGTGTTTCAAAGCTTTTTAACACAAAACTCATATCAATATTGGATTGCTATTGTAATACTCAGCACTGGACTGAAACTAAAATCACTGGTATCACCCATCACTCACATCAGTGTTCATTTAAAACAGGGGTGTCCAAACTTTTTTCATCAAGGGACACACATCTAAAGAAGCAGAGGGCCGATCGAGGGCCATAGACTGGTGCTCAATACGGTGAATAATTGAAATATGTGCATGTTTAACACATTAGAATGAGTCATCAGTCCTTTGCTCATGGTAAGATTGTCCAAACCACACACAAAATATTAAACATTGGCTTAATCAAGGTAGATTTTCAAAAAACTTGCAATAAAAAAGTTATTTTTTTAATTGATGCAAGTTCATTTGAGCCAATTCTCCTGAAAGCCTGAGGGCCAAGAAAAAAATGTCTGAGGGCCGCATTTGGCCCACGGGCCATAGTTTGGACATGCGTGATTTAAAACATTGGCATGTATATTGTTAAAAAAAAATTTTGTTCAGAAAGGGTTTATAAAATCTACATTCATGAAAAAAACATGCAGAGGAGCAGAGCACGATACAAAATAAGGTGCTTGAGGAGGTACCTTCCATAGAGTGAGATGGTCAGGTTGCCTCTGTAGGGACAGTCAGGGCTGCCCACGTGCATCTCCCCTCCGTCCCCAATCAGGATGTGTCTGGCCCTCAGCAGGAGGGGGCGGTGAGTGTCCGCGATCACCAGCTTCCCTGTCACAAGCACAGCAGGTCATCAGTCCTGGTTTAGTCCTGCTGTAGTCCGTGTTCATGTTTAATCATCCTTTAACTCTAGTCTTGTCCGGGTTTAACCTGGTTAAAGGGCTGTACAAATGTTTTTCATGTAATAAAATAAGATTTGTCTTGTCCCTTATTTATATATTGTAAAATTAGCTCTTAGGGTCAAAATGAAGTCTAATTATAAAGGATTTTTATCGACCATAAAATAATCCTAGGGTGTTGTTAGCATGCTCGTTGTTGCTAGGATTACTGTGGCGACAAAACTCCGCTCTGGGTTCTGAAAGTTGTGAAATGTGCATCTAAACTCATCACAGTGAATAATTAGGATACTAGGAATGCATAATATGAGGAGTGAAAAGTTTTACACATAGTTAAGACTGAGCCTTTAAGCTATTATCTTGTGTCTTTTTTTAAAGCCCAGTTGAAATCAGTTTTGCTTGGTTGTGGGTCCTGATCCTTTTTTTAGCTCTAGCTTTTAGTTATTCTGGCTGGTGCTGTTCGCTAGAAGAAATTCAGGGTACTCCCTAATGATTTATAAAGCTACAGAAAATAAAAAAAGCCAAAATAGCATGTGGTCTGAAACTGAACCCAGAATTAAAACTGTCACCACTGACTCACCTCCAGACAGGATCTCCAGGGAGTGCACTGTGGCTGAAGCTCTGAGGAGGACCTTCTGACCACGGCCAATGGTGACACGATGGTGCTCGCTGTGCCCGGGCAGCCATGTCTTTAGTCCAGGCTGCTTGTCTGGACACACTGGAGAAGCAACAGAACTGTGCTCAAAACAAATAGTGGCCAAACTTTTCTAGTCCAAGCCTGATGTTGTCAGATCTCAGAATCTAAGCAGGGCCGGGCCTGGTTAGTAATTGGATGGGAGATACCAGGTGCCATAGTGGGACACCAGTGGCAAAACTGTCCTTGTGTCCATGGGCAAAGCACCGACATTACCTATTAAAATATGAATGTGGTGTGTGCGTAAGTGTGGTCACTCACGCACACACCACGATCGGAGGGGGTGATGGTGGAGTTTACTTCTACCACCGGGTGTGGAGTAAATGAATACTGCATGAAATTGTAAAGCCACTTCATCTCAGCATCTGGAAAAGTGCTATTATTATTATCATTATTATTATTATCATTCAATACAAAAGTACAACTGTGGGGGAGTTGTTGGTTCCTTGTTGTAAAGCACTTTGAGTGCCTTGAAGGTGGAAGAGCGCTGTAGAAAAATGTGACCATTTCCCATTTACCATAACTGTGTGACATTTCAACCAGTATAAATAGACTAAAGAGAAGCCTTATTACCGGTATTCCATTGTTTGAAACAACCTCGCCTAGTTGCGGGCTAAGGCGGAGGCAAGTGTACTCACAAGGTTTCAATTCTCAGGGGATTTTGTGCATTAAAAACACATCTTTTGATTCGCTGAAATGTTACACAGTGGGTTGTTTACTTCCACATAATCTATTAATAAGTAACGGTTAACCACAATTTCTCCAGACATAGAAACTAAATGTAGCTGACTAAATTTATGTCAAAAAATGAAGCCCTATTTGTCATCTGCCTTCAGTGACCCACCTGCCCGGACAGAGGGGAGCAGCAGGAGCCCCAGGAACAGCAGACTGGTCCTCATGTGTGCAAGATGTTTAAAACCCTCCAGGCACAGGGACACAAGAGCCCTCAACAGGCTTCTTTAGGAGGGGATAGAGTGGCCCTGCACAGGCTCCAGGCAGAGGAGACACAGGGGCCCTCAGGCTTTTGTCTGGAGGTGGATGTACCAGGGCAACAACACAGCCTCCTGAGAAAAAGAAAAGCAACTTGTAAAATCTGAATGGTGAGAGGCAAGTGAGGGTTCAGAAAGAGACGACTTTAGTAAACAGAATAATCTCATTGGCCCTGAGTACAGATACCATTTTTTTTTTTTTTGACTATAAATTGCACTTTTTTCATGGTTTGGGTGGTCCTACGACTTATACTCCAGTGTGACTTATACATTGAAATGTTCAGACTGACAGAGAAGGCACTATTGGCTTGTGTTCTGCTACTACTATTACTCCCGTACCGCTGTCACTTTGCGCCCTACTGCGCATGCCTCCTGCAGAAAAAGCCGCTGTCCTGACTGACGGAAAGCGGGTATGGACCAAAACCATCCTGTCGGGATAAAGAAAGGCCATAATAATTCTAACTGGAATTGATGCTGAGTCTCATGACAGCTTGGCAGAAGAGGAAGCGGCGCTCTGTTTACCTCATGGATCTATGGTTTATTTCCGGAGGTCACGTAGAAATGACACCGAGGATGAAGAATTCAATGGATTTAGTGATTTAGAGTGAGATGAAGAGTTTGGTAAACTTATGTTCTGTTGTTTATGCTATAATTATCTGAACAACTGTTCATATGTTACGTTAACATATTGACGGCTATTCAGCCTGTTCTATTGTTTTTACTGTAACTTGTCTTTCAAGATAAAATGTCGATTACTGGTCTTTGATTTTATAAAATACATTTCCACAAAAAAGTGTGACTTATAGTCCGGTGTGACTTAGATATGTCTTTTCTTCTTCATTGTGCGTTTTGGCTGGTGTGACTTATACTCCAGAGCGACTTATAGTCCGGAAAATACAGTATATTGCATAAGCAGCTAGACGTCTGCATCTACTTATACAGCATGTTATTACTGAAAATCAGGAATTATGTGTAAGCATGATAGCCTTTGATACCTTTACCATCACGATAAAACTCCACACTGACCTCTAAAATTCATGAAAAGCGCTTTCAAACGCAATAAGTGGGGAATAACTTTGAACAACTGCAAACACTTTAAGAAATAGTTCTGTTTTCCCACGTTCAAGACAGTAAAATAACGCGAAAAACAGCTTCACATTTGGAGGATCAACATTCTCTCAACACTCTAGATAACTCAAACATTTGAACAAAACAAAATACTAAAAATTCAAGTATGTTTTGAAATGGGAAGCAGTAACAGAAACATGGCTATAGCAAGGCATTAGAGACGCTCTTATAACAACAATTCATCTTGGATTAATTCACTCGGGATTATAAAACTTTTGGACTTAAGGGAAGTTGTTAAATGAAGTTGTATAAATAAATAACAAGTACATTAAGCAAACAGCATATATTAAGTAATACTCCCACGGCTGCTCACATTATTAACATAGCGTTGAGAGCAGAGTTATTGCGCTCTGGTGAGGGCTGTTCAGCGCAGGCATCAGCACAACACTTTGAATAACACTCTGTGATTCACCGAGGATTAACACGCTGCAGATAATCATGTGTTTCCACGACGAGGATTAGCTCTCACCTGACCTCATCACAGCGGCCATTTTATATTCTGATCACATGACCCTTGCCACGTACGCCGGTCAGAATATGGATTTAGACTAGATTAATTTATATTTATTGACTTCCTTGATGGATTTAGTGGCCAGGGATTTCAGTTAATGTAAATCAATAGAAGTTGTGAAAAATTTGTGCAAAAATGAGCATCTAAATTGAAATGAAAAATGAATTAGTTGGATTCAGGATATTATTTTGTACATGACTTTGACTGGGCTGCTAATAGCGGTCATTATTGTTGTACAGTCATTTAAAAGGCTAAAATTGCTCTCTAACATAATGCCTGTGAAATTCTAATGTGACAGTTTAAAAGTTCTCAAGGTTCAGTGGTCTCTCCCGTCTGCTTCACATTAAACACAAATGTTGTCAAAGTGGCAAACCGGACAAACATTTGAAATATTGTTGACACAGTAACGGGCTTCTACAGTGACAGGCTTCTACAAGCAGAGCTGCAGGGAAAACCACATGAAGCTGAACTTTTCCAAAACAAAAGAGGTGGTGGTTCACTTCAATTAGACAAATCATTGACAGGGTGGAGAAGGACAAGTATTTATGGTTGATCATTGACCATAAACTGACCTTTAAAAGCAACAATGACTGCATCTGTCAGCAGCATTTGCACTTCCTCCAGAAAGTCAAGAGGCTGCAGGTTCATCCATTGTTCAGGCGTTCTAGAATAGTTCTGTGAGATCAATGCCATGGTTTGGCACGGTTTGGCTCTCTGAGTGAGGAGAATGAGGTCTCCTAAATAAGGTCATCAGAATGAGTGGAAAAATCATTGGAATCCCACAAGAACACCTGGGATCTCTTCCAAACTCTGGCATTAAACGGGTGCACTGATCTCCACTCACTCTCTCCATGAATAGTGTAGACTGCTCCAACTTCAGGAGGATCTCTTCTCGCTCTGAGAACCAAGTGGCTCATGTCCTCTTTTGTGCCAGCTTCAATTAGACTTTTGAATCAGCATTAAATGAAGAAGTCTGTGGACCTCTGTTATGTTTTATCTGTTAAATTGTCTCTTCTAACCAATAGTATCAACAGGCCTTGTTTATGTATGCATTATATGAAGGAGCCAGACCACAAATGAATTATGGTACACAGCACCTGGGGACCCATTTCCAGCTCAAGACCTGGTCTTGGTGAGGACTACCTTAGCTGGAGGATATGACCTATTGTGCACATTTGGGTTAATTGGAAAAAAGGAGTGCCTGGAGGAAACTCGCACAGGGAGAAACATGCAAATTCTACTCAGAAAGGCCTGGGCCTGAAATCAAACTTGGATTCTTCATGCTGTGAAATCTTCTTGCTATCACCTTACAGCTATCTTTAATTAACTTTGTTTTTATAATATTATTTAATTATACCACAAAATAAGAAAGATGCCAATCCTTACTCATCATAATTATGTAATAGCAGGCACGGGCTTGCATTTTCCAATGTTCATCAACAGCCTATTTAACACACATCATCAGTATGCACTTACTGGAGCTGAGATTAACTGTGCACCTTCTGGTTATGAGGCAGCTGCACTACCACCTGCGTCTCTGTTATATGTAGGATTTCCATCTTTTTAGATAATTAACTGGTTTCTATAATTCATGAACAAACCACATTTGTGAGTGGAAAAAGAGTCCTCTTGAGAGACTCGGAAGAGTCTTGAAGAGTTCTGTCTTGTTTAAAGATAAATTTTCTCGCTACATTCCTTTTGTGCTCTTATTATTGTTATAAGAACTCCACTTGGCTTCCTGGACACGGCATTGCTCTGATTCAAATCTAGTACAACAGCCTGCAGGCTCTCACCCGTTCCTGACTCTTTAATTACACAACCATAAATCTTATTAAGAGCAATGGGAAACCGCAAATGTATGTTATGTCATACAGGAAATATTGTTGGATTAAGAAGGCCATAGTTTTCATAGTTTGGGACAGTAAAGGCGCCAGGGTCAGATCAGGAGGCCACAGCAACTGGATCACACAAGCCCCATGCCAATCACACACAGAACAATGTGGAAAATCAGGTCATGTATACATCTTAAAAAAGGTGCACGGTGCAACTTTTCTAGTGGAGGTCCACCACCTGCTTGTCTTCACGAAGATATTTTACTGAGAATGTTCCATGATATTACTTTAAGCATTTCCATTTAGCATTTATTCATCATGAGTGATTCTGTTGCACAAAAATACAATAATTAATAATAATAAATAATGAATGATGACTCTCCACAGATCTGAACTGTAATGCAGTGTGCTGTAGCCTGCTTGTCGCTCTCGTGATAGGTAGGTTTAATCTTATACTGTAGAACATTCTAGACAGAGCAATAACATTGCCATGGAGAATTCAGATGACAGACCCTCCACTAGAAATGTTACGCAGTGCTCCCTAAAAGTGTTACTCATAAAAATATGAAAAATTAAGATCAGTTTATTATAAAGTGGGACTAAACAAACTAAAACTAAACTCCACCCACAAGCACATTTCAAATAAAGCTGTTAACTTGGGAAGTACCTGGAAGACTAAAGGAAAAAAAGGTAGGTTTGGAGAAGGGGCGGGGACTGGGCATATAAGGAACCAAGTGATTGGTCAAACAGGTATCCACACTTCAAACTCAACTGCAACCAAAAACAATCAGTAAAACTTGGCTGTCAGGACAGTCTTGTGCGATATCACATAGTACTTGAAATTGGAGTGGTCACAGTCACCACACACTCCTTTTTTTTGACCACAAAACTGCAAAAAGTCCTATATATAAATGGAAATAGAATAATAAACAATGTTATTAAAGACCATATAAACAGTTTAGTAGGAAATAAAGTCCATTTAGTGTTTAGTTCCACTTTAAATTGCTTATAGTGGTCCAAACATATTAGCACTTTGTGGAAAACATCTGACCTTGCAGCATTAGAATTATTTTTTCATTTACTCAATTGCTGCTATTTAATTGTGACATATGTAATGCGCCAATAACAGGGCTTACTGGTATATTAAGCTTTTCACAAATCCCATAGGAAGAAGGGCAATAACATCTTTCCTCTTGATAAAATTCATCAAACATTCTCTTTGTTCCGGCTTTAAATCCTCGATCTCGGGTATCGTTACAAACACAGAATATATGGCTCTGTCTACATCCATCTCGACCTCTTGGTTTACTGTTGTGCTGTACCACAAAAAGGGACCCAGATATGGCTTCACAGCTCTTCACTGATTGGCCGGTGTGCGGGCTACAACTTCTGGGGTTCTTGTAAAATCGTCTAGTGTATTCCGATTCCTGACCTTTATAAGTTAACAGCTCCCTTTTACCTTTAGTACAGTGGAATTCCAGGGCTGAAATCATCCGCATGATTCTAGTGAAGGTGTATGGAGTTTAAAAACACAGTGGAAGACTTCCTGTATTACCAGATGACATCACAAGGTGGAACAGAGTGATATCTGTTTGAGAGAAGAA